CAGCGATCCTCCTGCCTCAGCCTCCTGAGTGCTGGGATTAATGGCGTACACAAACACGCCCGGCTGCACCTCTTCTTGCAGCAGACTTCCAAACAAGATTCTCAGGGGAGCAGCTGGTCTCCAGGAGCAGGCGCTGTTAGGACTGCCCAGGGGCTGCTCTGCTCATCCGCCAGCAGGGGGAGCCCCAGCCCACCCCACAGTGCCCCTTAGTCTGGGAGGCTGCCATCATTGTCATTATTATATCATCATCATCATCATCATCATCGTTGCAGTAGTGGGGATTAAACCCAGGCTCTTTGCACTGAGCTACATCCCTACTCCTTCATTTTTTATTTTGAGACAGAATCTTCCTAAGTTGCTAAGTTGCTAAGTTGCCCAGGCTAGGCTCCAACTTGAGATCCTCCTGCCTCGGCCTCCCTGAATGCTGGCGTTATTCCCTCAGTTTGAACCCAGAGGTGGGCTCTGGGACTCTCCTCGGCTATGCTGCTTTTCACCTGGGTGTAACTGCAGGCCGGGGAAGCGGCCACTCAGTGCTCCGGCTGCTCCCCGCACCGCCTGCACAGGTCTCTCCGGGCAGCCGAGGCCGCCCTGCAGCAGCAGCAGCGAGCTCTGGCACCTGCAGATAGGCGCTTGCTCCCCTCCCTCCCTGCGGTGACCTGGGCCCCGCGGACCTGGTGCTACCATCAGACCCTGGCGTTGCTATGGAGCTCTGCTGGGTGGCCTCCGTGGGAGGCAGGGACAAGCCTGCCCTGGGGTCCCCGCTGCCATCCGGGCCCAGTCCCAGCTCGGGGCCCTTCTCACCGTAGACCACCAGCTTGGCTCTCCTGGACGCGGAGCCTGCCTCATTGGTGGCCTGGCACTCGTAGTCTCCGCTGTCCGTGGGCGAGACCGAGGACAGGAGCAGGGACCCATCGTCCAGCACCGCCATGCCCGGCCGGCCACTCAGGGGTTCTGAGGACGGGCCCTTGCGCCACACGACCTGCGGCTTAGGCGTCCCTGGCAAGGGGCACAGATTCCTGAGCACGGAGCACCCCACCTTCCCCTGCACAGCTGCACCGCCCCCACTGTGTCTCTCTGAATGTCACCGGCCCTTCGGCGGCTGGAGGAGCAGCTCCCTCAGAGCGGCAGCCTGCGCCCACCCCCAGCCCACTGCCACATGCCCACACCATCCCCGCGGCACCCATGAGGCCCACAGGCGCCGGGCCACGGGCCTGTTTCCTGGACGCTTCCTTTCCAGGGAGGCCCCTGCCGCCCCGACTCAACCGCACCCCATCCTCTCCATCCGCTGCCTCCAGCGTTTTCTTTTCCCCCCACTTCCCGGCCTTGCAAGCGCTAGGGTCTCTGCTTTGGTCCGTGCGGAGCCCCAGCTGCCAGCACCATGCCTGGCACACAGCAGGGCTGAGTGAGTGCAGAAGCCGGGCTCTCCCCTGTGCTCTGCTTGGCTCGTCCCCGCTTCTCAACGGGACGGTGTAGCCCTGGCCGCACGGCGCCACCATGAGCGCACAGGCCCTGGAGTGTCTGCTCTGACACTCGGCGTGCTGGGCTGGCTGGCACTCACCCCTGCCACTGGCCCATGCGCCACACGGCCCAGTGCACAGTGGGTTTGCGGGACACTGCCCTGCTGGGCTGCGACCGAAGCCCTTGCCGTCACCCGGCTCGCAGGCATCCACGATTGGCCCAGCTCACCAAGCGGTGCCACCCAGCAGCCACCACAGAGCCCTTGAGTGACCAGACCCCAGCATAGCACACGGCACGGAGGCAGGCCTGGGTGCACCCCAAAACTCGCAAGTCAGCACCCACGCACCACCCACCTCACTGCCAGGCCTGGGGACTGGAATCTAACGGTGAAGACCTCAGACGGCGTCCACCCTGCATCTACCACAGAGGCAGGGCAGCAGGGGACAGGCAGGAGGCGGGCATCAAAGGCGTCCCAAGGGTCACCTCTCTGTCATCTCTCTTAGGGGCTCTCTGCTCTGGCACCTGCTACCACCTGTATGTGGAGGTGCGTTAACACCACACACACACACACATGCACGCAGCTGACACCCTCTGCACACACGTCACACGTGTGCCTCCTGACCTTTCGGCTTCTCCTGGAGCCCCCTGTGCTCCTGGCCCCAGGCGTCAGACCTCCAGGCTGTGGCCAGGCCTCTGTTTTTTGTTTGTTTGTTTGTTGGTTGGCACTGGGAACTGAACTCAGGACCTTGCACTTGCCAGGCGTCGCGCCCCCGAGCTGTAACCCCAGCCCCAGGCCGCTGGCTCAGCTGTGGCCCAGCCTGCATGCACAGCACCATGGAGACAGAGCCCCGCTGCGGGGCGGCCCTGAGCCCCGGGGTGAGGGTCCCCACGACCACACAGCCAGGAAGAGCTGAAGCCGCCCGCCCAGGCGCAGCTACTGAGGAGCAGCAACCCCAGAACTGCGGGGACACACAGGCGCTGCCCCCTCGCCCTCGCCTGCCCGGCCCCACCCTGCGGGCCTCACCTCGAGCCGGGCACAGGAGGCTGGCGTTCTCCCCGGCCACTCGCTCCACCAGGCTGCTGTTGTCGGCCACCCAGTGTGGAGGCTCTGGGAGGAGGACACGACCGCCTTTACTCCCAGCCCGAGTGCAGGGGCCCGGCCCGAGTGGAAGGTGTCACCTTCCAGCCGCCAGGCCGCAGCCTCCTGAGAGTGCAGTGGGGGCAGTGACGCTGGCTCAGACCCTACAGGGGCGCAGAGAACAGCTTACCACCCACAGGGCCAGTCAGGGCCCCACCCCTCCAGTTCCCTAGTAACGACGGTGCTGGCACCATGGGCCCAGAACTTCCGGCGCTGGCCATTTTGCACACACTCGCTCAGTGACCCATGCCGCTGGACCCGCTTTGCAGCTGAGGAACCTGGCCACATCATCCAGCAGTACGAGGGATGGCTGGCCGTGTGCAGCCCGGCCACGGCCCCAGGGGACCTCTGTGCAGGAGGGACTCAGGGCCGCAGCCACGGCAAGAGGACAAGGAGGATAGGGGGCCTGGTGGTGGCCCCAAGGGCCTACTGGTCAGTCTCCAAGGGCTGAGGGAGATTCCACGACATAGGGCGGCCCTCAGCTGCAGGGGCCGGGAGATCTGCACAGGACAGAGGGCTCTGTCCCGGAGCAGATGGGAGAGGACGCCTCTGAGATCCGGGCTGTGCTGGGCAGGTGGGAAGAGGTGCATCCTGGGCTGGGGCACTCACCCAGCACCCTGAGATGCAGCTCCCAGGCGTCCGTCCCTGCGGGGCTGGAGGCCTCGCAGCGGTACAGCCCGGCGTCCGAGGTCTGCACGGCAGCAAAGTGGACCGAGCCCGCGGGCCCCGCTCCAGGCAAGGCCGCCCCATCCTTGGACCAGCTCAGCTGCGGCTCCGGGTTGCCCTCGGCCACACAGTTCAGATCCAGGGCTTCCCCCACCAGGGCCTTCAGGACCTGTGGCCCTGACTGCACCTGCGGGGGCACTGGCGGGGTCCCCTGTGTCAGGTGGGCAACCCAGGAGGGGTCCCAGAGCCCACCCTAGCTTTGTCACAGACCAGTGAGGCCAAGACACAGGGTCCCCTAAGGCGGGCATCAGGAAAAGACAGCAAGACCCCCGAGGGGCTGCTCTGCCCCCCACAGGGTAGATTCTGGCTTCCGCCTGAGCAGCGCTGCACCCACACCCTGTGAGAAGCACCATCCAGGCTGCATCCAGCTCAGTGTACGTTTGGGGAAACTGAAAAGCATCCCAGGCCTTCCGGGAGGCCAAGGACCTTACACTGCTCTTGTTTCTGAGAAGGATCCAGAGATGAGACCCCAGAGGGTGGGCACGCAGGGCTCGGAGGTGCGTGTGCCCACGCCATCTCGCACAGGCCCGTGCAAGCCCCCCAAAACTCTCCGACCCCTGATCTCCAGGCCTCAACCTGCCCCCCAGGAGACGCGCATCCCCCTGGACAGGGCTCGGCCAGTGTCTCGGCAAAGGGACGACCAGCCGCTAGTTTAGGGCTCGCAGACCAGCCGTCCCCCGTCCCCTGCAAGGGACACTGCGCAGGGGCAGGAGCCTGGGTCCCAGCTAACCCTGCGCTCGCCCACACTGGTGTTCAGACTCCAGTTTCCCAAGGTCACCAGAGGGCAGCTGTCCTCTTCTGTCCTAGTCTCCCCCACTCATTTAAAATCGCACTGTGAACCCCGCCGGGGGCCGGGCCAGTCTGCGCGTCTCTGTGTCTCGGGGCTCGGGCCTGCCTCTGTGTATGTGACAGGCACCCCCTGGCTTCCTGAGTGGGGCCAGCCCGGACACCACGGAGAACAGCTGCTCCTGGGACCCCAGCCGGGCTAGGGACCAGGGCCACGAAAGGATGTTTAGGAGCCAGGCCTGAGGACGCCGGGGGGCAGGGCCTCGCTCCTTAGACAGCGGCGGCTGGAGTTACCGGAGTAGAAAGTGGCCAGCAGCCAGAAGGGAAGCCAGGGACCGGAAGGGCCTCTCTGGGGGTCTCAGATGCCCCCGGCAGGATGGAGGCTCAGCGCGTTCCAGAGGCCTCTTTGTACCCTGGAGCTTCTGTCATGGGCCCCCAAGCGCCCCACCTTAGGTCCCTGGCCCTGTTCTCGGGGGCTCTGAGCGGCCTGTCCAGGCCGGGAGTGGGGAGGAGGACAGCGGCGTGCAAAGCAGGAAAAACAGTGGCCGGGAGAGGGGACAGGGCCTGGGCACCGAGATAGAGGACAGGGCAGGGGGCCAGGCACAAGGACAGAGGGACGGGCTGTGGCGCCCACGGGTCCTACCTTGCAGCCCGAGGACATAGCGCCGGGAGGCGGACCCCGCGGGGTTGCTGGCGGTGCACTCGTAGTGGCCGTCGTCACCCACCCGGGCGGGCGCCAGGCGCAGGGAGCCGGACGGAAGGAGGGTGTGACTAGAGGGACAGGACACCTGTGAGACCCTGGCCGGCCCCACCCAGGGGCAGGCTTCAAAACCCACCGCCACGGGGCCCGCTGCCTCTTCCAGGAAGCCTTCTGGGCCCGAGGCAGTGCCCACCAGCCCCAGCCCAGCTCCGTGTCCCTGAGATGCCAAGCCTGCAGCCCCTCCCGGCACAGCAGACATGGGGCTGGGGTCCACAGGCCCAGGCCCAGGTCCTTGCCCTGTGCCCTTTCTGGATGCATAACCGCTGTGGCGTCCACTCCCCCAGTGTACAACGGGCACCACCAGCACCTGTGACTGCACCAGGCGCCGCTGTGCCCTGGTGCCAGGCCTGCCTGACCCTGAACCCAGGGACTGCGGGGGCCCTTTGTCCAGAGCTGTGCCCACCCCCTCAGTCTGGCCCACCTTGCTGAAGTGCCCCTCCCCCTGGCAGCTGGATTGGACCCCAGGGGCCCTTGCAGACATGATGTCACCGGCCCACACGTGCTGGCTCTGAGTAGCCCCTGCCCCCACAGAACAGGGGCACAGCTGCAGCCGTGACCCCAGCCGGCCCTGAAAGCAAGCAGTGGAGACCCCAAGGGGACCGGAAGACCAACCCTCAGTGCAAGCTCACCACGACTTCCTGCCCTGCTTCCCACCCTGCCCTGCTAGCCCTGGGCTTTGGGGCGCCCCAAGCCCTCCAGGCAGTCACCGGTTACAGCGACGGGCGAGCAGTGCGTCGGGCGAGCAGTGCGTCGGGCGAGCAGTGCGTCGGGCGCGGCTGCCACCCACAACTCACCCCGGGCAGCCTCAGGCTACAGGCTCTGCCTCTGGCCCCTACCTACAAAGCAGGGACAGTGCCCCTTGTGGCTTATCCTGGGCATCCAGCAGGCCCCGTGGGTGGGTAACACTGGGGAAGATGCTCCCCAAATGGTGCATCCCCAAAAGATGCTCCCATCTGTTCTGCCAGGCACCGGCTGTGTGAGGCTGGGAAGTGGCTGAGCTTTCCTGCACCTCCATGGTCTCATTTTGATAACAGAGACAACAACAATGCCCTCCCCTCACAGGACCTCCAAGAGACCCGAGGAACTAATTCAGAGCACAGCGCCATGCTGATGACCATAAGTGAGTCCATAAACCCCATACAGCATCATTTTGCATATGTTAGACACTTACACGCCTCTACGTATAGGTGTAAATCATTTTCACTGCTGTATAATATTCCCTTGCTGGATCACACCACAGTTAATTAATTTGCTACCTTTGAAGTGGATGTTTAAACATATAGATACAAATGTCTGGGGTCACCCCAACTGGGCTTTTCCCATCCATTGCTTTACATTAAATCGTGCTGACCTGTCTACCCTCACCAAGCAAGGCTCCATCAGCTTGAGGCTAACACATATACTCAGTGACAGAGTGAGCTGAGGGTTCCAGGACACCCTGCAGTGCCTCAGCTGGAGAAAAGGGGTGATGGGGACTGGTGGGAAGAGGTCTGGGCTGGGCGACAGATGTGCTGTACAGCCTGTCGGGGCAGCCAGTGCCCCTGAACCCCAGTTTCTTCACACTGGCAAAAGCAGCTCTGCACTGGTAGCTATGTCTCCCAGCTCCACCTGGGCCACCTACTTTTTAAACCTCCAGAACCCAGCCCTGGCTGCACAGAGGGAGGCCTCCCCCACGACCCCAACCTAAGCTCCAAAGTTGCAGGGAAAAGACGAAGTGGTGGCTTTGGGGCCCGGCACAAGCGGGACAGGACCCGGGGCCTGGGGTTCCCGACAGCCCCCATCTCCTAGGGGCCTGGGGGTTCCTGGCAGCCCCTGCCGGCTCCTCCAGCCAAAGAGTAGTGACAGCCACTCCCTGCACCTGTGGACATCCCATTCCCAGCCGGGGCTCGGACAGCGCCCTGCTCCGGTCACCTGCTCCTGAACCAGGCATTTATCACTGTCCGGCAAAGGCTGGTGGCTCTGTGAGGGCTGAGCCGGGCGTGCCCAGGTCCCAGCACAGAGTAGGTGCTCAAAAATGTTCCGACGGCAAATGACAGCGGCCCCCTCCAGGACTCAGGGCCCCATCGAGGAAGCCCGGGCTCCAGGTCTTCCAGGAAGCTTTCCCCGGCAGGTAACTTCCCCCGCTCTGAGCTGCACAGAGCCTGGTCCAGCCGGGTGCCCACGCATTCATTCATTCACTCGTTCACTACATTCATTCATTCCTCCAACAGTGCGTGGCTGTGCCCTGTGCCTCCCCAGGACTGCCCACCTCACACAGGAGCTGGCAGTGCTGCTGTCTGGCAGCAGGGCTGGCGGCTTTCCATCAGGTGGCACGTCTGGCAGACACCCAGCCACCCCCGAGGGCCTCAGGCCGTCTGTGGGGTCTGTGCCCAGCCAGGGCACCTGCTCCATGAACGGCCACTCTGATCCCCTCACAGTAATGAAGCCACCAATGGGAAGTCACGCTGGGGAAACTGAGGAAGCAGCCTGCCGCCCCCTCTACAGGGCCAGCGCTGGACTGGAGAGACTCAGAGCCCGCGCCGGCCCCGAGCCCCGGTACCAGCAGCCCTGCGCTGCCCCAGGGCCGTGTGCCTGGCTGCGCAGCTCCGCAGAGGATAGGGCTGAGGTCGCGGAGATGAAGCTCCACTGTCTGCGGCACTCAGCCACAGCCGCTGCCTGTCTCCAGCTAACCGCGAAGGGCGTGAGAGCACGCAAACAGGAAAACCCGGAGCGGCGGCGTCCAGACGAGGTGTCTGACTGCCCCTCCCCTTTTGGGACTTGGGCTGGGGCCCTGCGTGGGACCCTGGCCGGGACCGTGCACAGCTGTCCCAGCTCCGAATCCCAAACAAACACAGTTGCCTGGAAACAGCATCTGGACCCAAGTCTCGGATGCTCCCTGGCCACCACCCACCGCCGGACGGCCTCAGCCGGGGAGACTCAGCGGGGCGGGTGGCGGCGGGGTGAGGGTCCCCAGGCCGTCCGTCTCCAACTCGCTCCCTCCTTGCGCTGTCCCGGACACGTGGCATTGCTCAGAAGCCTCTGTCGGCTGTGATTCTGACCTTACAACGTGGACACTTTCAAGAGCAGCAGTCCCACGGACTGAGCCGGCCCGGTGGCCATTTCGACCCTTGTACTTGGCCGTCTGCCTTCGGGGCGATCCCCAAGGAAACAACTTAGAACTGCTGAGAACTGGCGAGCGGCGCAAGCCCCAAACACAGCAGCAGCCTAGCAACCGCTGCTCTGTGGGGACAAGACAAGGAGGCCCACGGGCAGGTGGGGAAGAGGAGCTGGGGCGGGGCAGGACTCGAGGGGCGCCGAGCTTCCCTCCTCAATAGCACCTGATGCACATGGCCCCTGCGGAGGGCCAGGGACACACGTGTCTGAGTGTGCTCAGGTCGGGGTGTGCTCCGTGTGCCCCGCCCCGCCCCGGGACTCAGACTCAGGTTCCAGCCCCGCACACCCGTTTCCATTTCCTTTTGGAGGCTGAGGCCGGGCAGGAGGCCGCTCCCTCCACCGGCCTCCAGGGTGGCTGGCAGACCTACCGAAGGCCTTGGGGGCTCGGCACACCTTCGCTCTCAATGCTGTCTACACTCAGAGTTATGCACAAACCTCCACAGTGCCCAGCCGGGGCCAGCACAGGGCGGGGAAGACGCCCAAGGACAGAGCTCGTCCACCCCAGGGCTGAGTCCGGAGACAGCTCACCAAGGTAGAAGGCGCACATGGCCCAGCCCAGGGGGACAAGGAGGGACGAGGGACACCGCCGAGGCGGCCCCACGCAGAGGTCCTGAGGATCACCTGTGGGTTTTGCCTCAGTAAAGCGATCCTATAACCAAGCAGGTCGGGTCTGCAGTGTAGCTCAGGGGTGAGCACTTGCCCGGCAGGGGTGAGGCCCCAGGTTCGGTCCCCCGCACCACAAAGAAGAAGAACAGAAAAATATCCCCTGAAAGCACGCATGAATGCGTTGAGATGACAGATGTGGCAAGAAGGTGGTTTTGCGAAGCTTCCAAGGACGCGCAGGTAGCAGCGCAGATAGCAGCGGCGGGCATGGAACATCCAAGGACCGAGTATTTCAGCTTGGGGACAACGCTGAGCCTGCGCACTCACCACCCCAGTCACGCCCTCTCCCCGGGACAGGGCCAGCCAGGGCCACGCCTGGGCTTCATGTGCTGTAGGGCTCAGGACCTGCAGCTCAGCCCCACCTAGGAGCGCCTCCACTTTTTGGTCAGCTTGAGGGGCATCAGAAACCTCTAGAGAAGCATCACGAGCCAGCGAGGAGAGGGATGGAGGGGGTGCAGGAGAGGGAAGAGGGGAAACCCGGCGATTGTAAAAGCAGCTCCTGTAAATTTAGAGCTCCCTGCTGATCTGTGAACGAAGAGGGCACGGGGGAGCAAACAGACGGACGTGTGGCTCCCGCCTCGGTAACAAGCCATAAATAAACAAGCACCCGCTGGCCAGTGGCCGCCGCCCAGCCAGGCTCGGGGAGCAGCCCTTCCGGGACAGCTGCAAGCTCCCTGACTTCCCTACATCCCCGGCCCACTGCGCAGAGGAGGAGCAGCGATCCCAGGGCCAGGGGGGGCCCCCACTGGCCTGGGCTGGCTCCCTGTACCACACTGAGGGGTGCGCAGCTGGAAGTTTGGGAGAGCTCCCCAAGCAGATGTTCTGGGACGCAGACACACAGGGGTGGGGGGTGCAGGACCTTGCCAGGGCTGATGTCACCGCCCTGAGCTGCATGCCACGCCACCTGCCACCCCCACCAGGTCAAGAGCTCCAGCAGTGTGTGGGAACGCGAACTGGCGGGACCCTGCATGCCCCACAGCCCGGCCTGAGCGTGCGGCTCGGCTCCCCAGTGCAGAGGGGCTGAGCCCGAAAGCCGGGAGCCCGGACACCGGGTCTGCAGGGCAGGCGTGTGCGGGACATGCGCCATGGTCAGGACGCACCTCCAACCCCAGCTCTGCTGTTGCTTAGCCAAGCATCCCCGAGCCTGAGTGACCCGCAGTGACCCCACAGCCCAGGGAGCAGGGTAGTGGGGACAAAAGAGACACTGCACCCACGCCCAGGGGTCATGCTTGGCATGTGGATGTGGGTTATTTCAGGGTGCCTCTCACCCGGGCTCCCACACACCCTCTGAGGGCCCACAGAGGCCTGGGGCCCCGGGGTAAAAGCCTTATGTGCTGATGCCGGTGAGCCTCCTGGGGCGGCCGCAGGGTCCCGCACCTCCGCGGGGTCACCAGCCAGGCCTGAGCGCTGCAAACCTGCCCCTACCGGAGGCCCTGGGGTTGGGGTACCTGTCGGTGCTGGGCAGCAGAGGGTGGGCGTCCTTTGTCCAGGTGACCAGGGGCGGTGGGGAGCCCTGCGCCTCACAGTCCAGGGTCACCTCTTCGCCAGTCTTGGCTGTGACTCTGATTGGCGAGTCTGCGTCCTGTGACCCGTTCACCTGGATCCTGGGCTTGGCTGTTGGGGAAGCAGGCAGGGGCAAGTGGCAGCAGGACGGTCCCCGGAAGGACAGACGGCCCTTGCCCCCTGACCTTGGGGTTGCCCTGGAAGCGAGTGGGCTCTGCTCCAGGAAGAGCGTGCGGTGTAGACCCCGCCCAGATCTGAGGGCTCCGCTCGGCCTCCCCTCCCCTCCCGCAGGAAGCTCCCCTCACTTTGCCAGCTGGTCAGCTCCCCCAGACCCACCCCACATCTGGGCCTCGTCTCTTCTGCCGTCCTCACCCGGGGACAGCACCCGTCCTCCGTTCCCTTCTCCTCCCTCCCCATCGGTTATCTATTCCAGGACAGCAGCGGCCACAGGCCGCACAAACCCTCCCCCGACACTCACACGGAGGGGGGGGAGGCATCCTGCTGTCGCCTTGGTGACAAAGGCTGAGACCCTCCCCTCCTCCACCCTCCCCACGGAAGGGACGCAGAGCACGCTGAGCAAGAACAGAGCAAGCCATACAGCAGGGCTGCCAGAGCCCACCGAGCCCCGAACATCGCCACTGCCGAGAGGCAATCTCACCCCTGGAACGCTCTTTGCAATATAAAATGTTGGCTCTAAAAGCATATGCTAGGAAAGGGCTGGCCTGGGTCTCTATCAGCTTGTCATCCCAGACCTGGTCCCTGAAGTCCCGAGTCCCACCCTGTTCTCACATTGGGACCAAAGAGCCCAGCATGCAGTTAATCATTTGGGGACATTCAGTGTTCACTGCAAGGTGACTTCACCCAGTCCAGGGGTGACAGATGGGAGAGCACCCCGAGAGGTGGAGGAAGGGCTATAAGTCAGAAGCAGTGCATGTGCAAAGGCCCTGAGGCCCAATGATCATTCACGAAATGGGGAAAAGGCCAGGGTCCTGGGGCAGAGAGAAGCGGGGGAGAGGAGGTGCGGGTGCTGGCCACAGAGGGCTGCACTGTCCGTCCCAGAGTCCCTCCCATCAGGCCTCGCCGTCACTCACTGTTGACTGAAAGCCGCATCTCCTGGCTGGAGAAGCCGACGGCGTTGGTGGCCGTGCACACGTAGGTCCCCGCGTCCCGTGGGGACGGCCAGGCGATGAGCAGGGTGCCGTCCTTGCTCACATTGTAGTCGGGGCCCCTGGAGGTCAGGGCTTTGGTTTCCTAGGACAGAGCCACAGGTGACGCTAGCAGAGGCCACACACACACACACACACACACACACACACACACACACCCGGCCCGGCTGACTCAGTTTACCCCGGAGACTAGAGGCTCCACCCACCTTGGTCCAGGTGATGGTCGGGGTGGGAACTCCCGAGGCGGCACAAGGCAGAGAGGCTGGAACCCCCTCGCTGGTGACGTGGTGGGTGGCAACGGGGTAGATTCTTGGTGGCACTTTTGTAAACAAACCGATTTCATGAGCCAGAGTGCACAGCAGCGCGAAGCCCAGCAGCCAAGGAGCAGGAAAAGCCCACGCGTGCATCAGTGACGACAGATACGCAAAATGGGGGGCTGCGTGGAGTGGAATAGTACTCAGCCCTAAAAAGGTGTGCAATGAACTCTAACTCGATGATGGCCTGGAGAGGGCAAACTGTGCAGATGGGAGAAGGACCAGAGGGAGCCAGGGCTCGGGGGAGGGAGGGGCGAGCAAGGAGGGGGCCAAAGGGGTTTCAGGGCATGAAGCTACTCAGTCTGATGCCGTAACAGCGGGTACACGGCTTCACACATCTGTCCAACACCCCGTGTGACGCTGGGACTTTGGGGGGACGATGTGTCTGTGAAGACTTGTCCGTTGTAGCACTGGGGGCGTCAGTAATGAGGGAGGCTGCGCATGTGATAGGTAGGGGGCCGTGGGAAATCTTTGTGTCTTCTGCTCATTTGGCTGTAAAACGGCTCTTCTAAAAACTCCAGTCTACTAAAAAAAGTCCAGGTGTGGTGGAGCACACCTGTAACCCCAGCAACTGTGGGAGGCTGAGGCAAGAAGATCGCAAATTCAGGCCCAGCCTGGGCAGTGTAGAGACTTAGTGAGTCTCTAGACTCACTTAGTGTAGAGAACCCCCCTGTCTCAAAATAAAAAATAAAAAAGGGCTGAGATGTAGCTCAGTGGGAAGGCCCTGCGTTCAACCCCAAGACAGACAGACAGACAGACAGAAAGGAAATCAGATCCATGCTACAAGGCGGAAGAATCTGGAAGATGTACTAGGTGACGTAAGCTGGACACGGAGGATAAACAGCCTGATCCATGGACAGGTGGCACCTGGGACAGACGCAACCAGGGACGAACGGAGGACAGAGGTCGTGGGGGGGGGCAGTACTGGGAATGCGTGTCCGTGGGGACAGAGCCTCAGCTTCAGAGGTGAAAGGGTCCAGAGAAAGGGGGTGCTGCACAGCGGTGCAGACGAGCTCCATGCTGACGCACTGGACACTGAACAGCGGCTGCAGTGGTGCATGTCCAGCTGTGCATATTCTAAAGTCCCTAAAATTCAACAGGAAAATAAAAATGCCCTCATCTCCACAGCTGCCACGGTCTGACTGCTGTTAAATGCCCCCTGGGATGGGCATGGTGGCACACCCCTATCATCCCAGCACTCGGGAGGCTGAGGCAGGAGGATCACCATGAGTTCCAGGCCGGCCTGGGCTCCACAGTGACCCAGCAGTGAGGGTTCTTCGCTCCGGGACTGTGGATAAACCACTTGGCGCTTCAGTGCCCACATTCTCTGACTGATAAAGAACAGAGTTAATCTGGATACCCCGTTCACGCCTTTGGGGACAGACAGGTGAGCAGTGGCAGGGAACATCGTTCACAGCCCAAGCAAAGCCATCCAGATTTTCAAGCTTGCAAATGATGGTCGCCAGTGGGAGGGGTGGGGCAGCAAGGGTGGCAGATGCCTGTGGCCGGGAATGACCCCAGCCAGGGCAGCCTCACTCGTTCATGCCAGTGCCCGGGTATGTCCCTGGCAGAACGGTGGAACTTGGGATGAAACTTAAGTGAAAACATCACAGCTTGGCATGTGCTGTGTGCCCAACTGTGACTGAGATTACGAACCGGAATTACGAGGAGCTGGGGTACCTGGGTTCTCATTCAACCCAGCCCCTTTCTTTTTTGTGCTGCCAGGGGTTGAACCCAGGGCCTTCACATCTAGCCCCATCCTCAGCCCTTTTCATTTTTTATTTTGAAGCAGGGTCTCACTAAGCCACTAGGAACTTGCAGTCCTCCTGCCTCAGCCTCCTAGAATACTGGGATTAAAGTGTGCACCACCATGCCCAGCTCAACCCAATCCCTTTGGAGTTTGGGTTTCTCTATAAACCAAAGAATTACTGTTCATCCTGCTCATCCCTCCAGGGTTTAATGAAACACCCGAGATGAAAAAAAGTGTTATGGTTGATACATTGTGTCGACTTGGGGAGTCTAGGGGTTTGGCTAAGTGACTCAGCAGGGAGCCAGGGTGCTTACTTTGTATTCATCCTGAGCCTGTGGAAGAGGAGGGCATGGAGATTATGTGAGAGCTACACACCCCCTGGGTGCGGGTAGCCTGTTTACAGTGTAAGGGAGGGAGAGAGGCTGCTTGCTGCCATTCCTCCCTTTGCTCTTGTTGTTTTTGCTGTGTTCTGCCGCCGTGAATTGTTGCCCTCTGCCATGTGCCACTCTGCCTCGGAGCCAGCCGAGTGTGGACTGAAACCTCCACAAACTGTGAGCTAAATAAACCTTTCCTTCCTTCATTTTGGTCATTGGGCATTTTGTCTCAGCAATGAGAGAAAAGTAACTAAAGAAGATATTGACATATTTGGCAAAGTACAGAAGCAGCCATAATACATTGTCAAGGAAACACACAGGCAGCAAGACAAGGACCAGAGGTGATTGTGGCTCGGTTTTTAAATACGGAACTTGCAAAGAATTTACAGTGAGGGAGACAGGGAACTTACATATAAAGAACACAGAAAGACTTTTAACCAAAGCATACATAATGTTCTCTATGTAGCATGTACGTGCATGTGTACTATGGTACATACAACATGCATACACGTAAGTGCACATATGCACCATACACAGTCAGCCCGCAACTTCTGCATGGATTCAACCAATGTAGGATGGAAAAGTGTGAGGGGAAAATGAGCCCCAGATGGACACTGCCTTTTCTTATCAATATTCGCTAAACAACATGGTACAATATTCACACAGCATTTACATTGTGTCAGGTGTTATAGATGTTCCTCATTTAACAGCCTACTCGTTTCACAACGCTTCAAACTTAACTAGTTTTTCTTACAAACTTCTGCACATCTTTATAGAGCCTCAATGCCCTTTTTTGCAGAGAAACCTCGCTAAATCATTTTCGCTGATTTACTGTAACAGCGCTGCAGCTCTGTGTTGCTACACCTTACAGCTTTGCGCATGAAAGCAAAGTCATCAGGTCCGAGTTTCCTTTGACCGCTCCTCTGTCCTGAACGCTGTGAAGCGCACACCATCTACAGGTCCTCACTCAGGACCAACTCATTTAGCCCCTCGTCGCGGGAAGGAACGCAGCTGTTACTCAGGGGCACCCGTGTAGGTAACCAGGGATGGTTAAAGGTTCTATACGGACACCACGCCGTTCTACAGACAGGGCGCAGGCACCCAGGGTCTCGGTTCCCAGGGTGTCCGGGGCCCAGGCCCCCGTGGGTATTGAGCGGTGAGTGTGTACAGCCTGCGTGCACAAAGCACTGAAAGATGCGCACCAAAGTGTAAAATCTGATTATTCCTGCTACTGCCATTATAGGACTGTTTCGATGTGTCTCCTTCATTTCCCTTAAGGGGGTGTGTATTATCGGTGTGATTTCTTTACACAGAAGTGTCCGACTCCAAGTGGCCCCCTGCCGTCTGCCCTGCACCCTGGACCCCCGAGGCTCACCCTGGACGATCAGCTCCACGTCGCGGTGCTGGGAGCCGGCCGAGTTGGTGACCACGCAGCTGTAGATGCCCGCGTCCTCCTGCAGCGCCCGGTCAAAGTGGAGGCTGCCGTCGGCCCGGACAGAGCCCCGGCCAACTGCTGGGAGCTGGGGAGAGCGGGCAGCAGTGGGGCAGACAGCACAGCGAAGCGCAGCTGCCTCCCTCGGGGCTGTCCTCCTCCTGTCATCTACTGGAGCTTTGGACGAATACGGGTGCCCCTCCCAGCCCGAGGGTGCAAGGACCCCAAGGTGCAGGAAGTCTAACGAACGGGAATCAGTAAGGCAACCAGAGTGTCCAACCCTGCGCTGGGGTTGGGGACAAGAGGTCCCGTCTCCACCCGCCTCCATCAGAGCAGGGTGATGGAGGCAGCATGTCTGGGTCACCCTCCCCCAGGGCCCCAGCTGCTCCGAGCACAGGCAGGGCACAGAGCGGCAGCAAATGTAGAGAAGGCTCTGACCAGGGCGCAAAGCCCGAGGGACAAGAGGACATCCCAAAGCCGGGGAAGGCAGAGCAGAGACAGAGGCATGGAGGGGCCGTCTGCTCGCCAGCGCTGGGCGGCATGGCCCAGCGCACCCAGACAAGTCCAGCACTCACAGGGCGGCTGGCCCTGAGCCAGCGCCTCTCTGGGAGCGGCCTCCCCGCCAGGATGACGCACGGCAGGGACGCGGGCTGGCCCTCCAGGACGCGCACGGTGGAGGCGGTGCCGGCGATCTGGGGGGGTGCTGTGGGGAGAGGAGATATGTCAGACCCCTAGGTCCCCTGCGATTCACCCTCTGGGGGGGGGTGCCACTCCCGCCCCGGGGAACTGGTCAGCACAGAAGATCACGGTAGCTCAAAGTCCCCCAGGACACTGCCCAGGAAGCAGGGACACCAAGGCTGCTCTGGAAACCTGGCCATGCACATGTCTGTCCCCGAGGGTGTGATGACCATGAGGAGGCCCGGGGGACATCCGCCTCCCCACCTCCCACGTGCGGGTGCCCCGGCGAACCGTGTCCAGTGACGCTGAGCTGGGTCTTGGCTTGGGCCTTCCCAAAGACGTTCTGAGCCTCACAGACGTAGGTGGCCTGGTCCTCCGGGGCCGCACCTGAAGGCCGCAAGGAGCCAGGATACCATGAGAACAGCGGCGTCCACACGTGCGGGGCTTAGCATGTGCCAGAAAACGTGTAACGCCCTGCATCTGTCACCCATTCAGCCCCTGGAAGCGGACCTGATCTTGGGTCGGTTTTATCGTTAAAACCAGGTCGCCAAGCAGGACCCAGCACCAATCCACCCCGCCCCATCTCTTACTTTCAATGAACAGCACTCCTGAGTCCGGCAGCCCGGGCCCACTGCCCCGCCGGGGCCCCAGGGGCCGGCCGTCTCCACGGCGCCAGGTGACCATCGGGGGCGGGAGGCCGGTGGCCCGGCAGGCCAGGAAGGCGCTCCTGCCCAGCTCCACCGTGATGTCCCGGGGCAGCTCCATCAGCCGGGGGGCATCTGTGGGAGGTGGGGAGTCCACAAGGAATCCCCAGGCACTGGAGCCCCAGGGCTGCCTGCTCCTCCCCTCTCTTCACCAAGGGCCCCCCTCTTCCAGCCCGCACCCCATGAACTGGGGCTCTGTGGCCGCCCTGAGCTTAGCAGGTCCGCTCTACAGGCCCAGCCTGGGTGTGCCGGTGGCCGCCCACACGCCCCGCGCCCCTGCCTGGGGGTCTCAGGGGCCTTGCTCTACCCAGCCACGCTCTGTCTCAGGCCAGCTTTCTCTGAGCTTTTGGTATGAGCATGGAAAATGCCAAAATTAAAACCTGCTCGTTAGAAAGAAGGTGGCCGTATCCGGCCAAAGAGGGCTACACCAGAGTGAAAGAGGCCTCATGGATAACCTCACAGGACAGCAGGCCTAGCCAGGGGCTGTGGCGGCCACCCAGCCATAAAAGCCTCAAACATGCACAAAGGGCAGCTCTCCCGGGTCTTGCTGCACACGCCCAATCCCACACCCCCTCCAGGGTCGCACGGCTTAATCGTCTGCCATTCTCTTCCAAGCACTGTCTTTTATAGTTGGGAAAGGAAAAAGAGGATCAAGTTCTTTCCCCACGGAAGCTGGAGAGCCCTCCTGTCCTTTCAAAGGCCAGAGCTGGTCCAGTCCCAGGTAGTGCCCACTCCGCCCAAAACTCCGGCCATGTCCTATGCCCTGTCCCCAGGCCCACGGACTCCCGAGGTCCCTGGCCTCTGGTTAACCGACAGAGCCCGGCACCAAGGAGAAGCTGCCATCTCTCTGTTCTTTCCAAGGAAATCTCTGCCATTTATCCAAACCATGACATCAAATTTTCCTCCTGGCCTCCCGGAGGAGGGAAATTCCAAGGAGTTTCTGCAAGGAGGAAGACGCCACTCCCGATATCCTGGGCCACCACCTTCCTCCCTGGGGCTGGCAACTGCAAGCCTCCGAGGTCAGAAAGCCTCTGCTTAGCCCTGTCCCAGACCTGCTCCCCCCTCCCGTTCCTACAGAGCCCTGGCCCCAAGGGCACAGCTGTGCCACCTGCCGCCCCACTCCGGGAGAGAGCTGAGACTCCCCGGGGAGCTCGCCTGCTCCCAGCGGAGACCAGAGCCCTCAATCCTCAGTCTCCTAACAGCTGCTCCACCTCCTGACTCCGGATTCTCCCTGTCCCCTCGCGGCCAGACCTGCAGGCTTGAGCAAGGCCAGCGCTTGTGACAGCAACAAGAGGACACCTGGTGTCCCTGCTAAGCTGCGGGCCGGAGACCGTGCTCTTCCAGGTGGCACGGGTATCACGAGCCATGTCCCCAGGGAGGAAGCGGGCGCAGAGACCGAGGAGCCTGCAGAGCTCAATGGTGCCAAAGCGGCGGTTGGCACCCCACCCTCGGGACTCGGCCACCCCCGCAGGTCCTCTGCTCCATTCCCCTTACACAGAGGGGAGACAGGCCAGGCTCTGAGGACCCTGCAGGGCTCAGGCTCCTCTGCCTGCAGGCTCTCACCCCCACCCACACTGATGACCCTTAGTGACCCCTGGCAGTGACCCAGGTGAGGACCAAGGTCTGGCTCCAGGGGAGCTCCGTTTCCTCCGGAATGGCCCTTCCTGCCTTGGCAGGGGGCAGGTCATGGGACACTTCAGCAGCCCCAGCGCCCCTGGAGAGGCCCGCTTGTGGGGAGGGCTCCACGCGGGGTCCTGGAGCACCCCGGACAGGAAAGGCCACCGACACCTACCAGCCACCCGCTTGTAGGAGGCAAGGCGTGGGACAGGAGGGTCCAGCCCCCAGGAGGGATGCCCCGTCCTCCTGTCCCTGGGCAGCCTCTGCCCTGCTCACGTGCACGCCCTGGGCCTCAGCCACTTCCCAGGCGACGCCAACACCGATGGCTCCAAGCCTGGCCTCTCGCTGAGCCCTGACACCTGCATCCGTCTGCCCCGTCACCCTGTGTCCCCCAACAGTCTCCACAGCACAGCCGCTCCAAGTGTGGCCCTGACCGCAGCCTCCTGTCACCCTCCTGGGGTGTCTCTGCCTGCACCCCCTTCGTTTTCCACTTAGCTGCACCCTAGCAATGGTGACCTGCCCACGCCTCTGACCTCACTGCCGCTGCACAGGGACTTCCGGGGCGCCAGTCGGCCTGGTTGCTCTGCAGTGGCCTGAACCCCAATGTGCCATCAAAGGAGGGGGCTCTGGGGAAACCAGGGCCAGTGAGTCATGCGGGGACACTCCAGACTGGGTTAGTATGCCTAGCGGGGGCCCAGGGAGCTTGCCTCCTCTCTCTGCACCAGGGAAGGAAGGGCGACAGGTCACAGGGAGGGGCTGCAGGCCAGCGAGGGCCCTGAGAACACAGCCTCCTGCGCCCCGGCTTCCAGCCTGCAGTGTGGGGGTCCAGGGGAGCTGGGTGCTGGGTGCTCCCCGCCACAGTGCTGGCCAAGACACCATCGCGCTGCCTTGGGGACAGCAGGGTAAAGGTATGGCTGCCGGCTGCCTCTGCCACCAGGGACCTGGTCAGTGACAGGCAAGGCTGTGTCCCTAGGCCTGGCAGAGTTAATGGGAAGGGAGGGGTGGAGGGAGGGGAGTGGATACAGGGAGCCCAGCTCAGGCCCTGCATTAGGGGCTCTGGGTCAAGGTGGGGTAGAGCTGGAGTCCCACACACTGACCTAGGAGTCACAGTGGCTTTTTCCACCCTGAGGTGATTTCCGTGTACTTGTCCCCCCACAGTGGAATGTTACAAGTTATATTTTACAAGCTCATGGCTCCAAAAACACATCTATCCTTTTTTTTTCTTTTTTGAGACAGGTCTCACTATTAGTTCAGTCTGGCCTCAAACTCACTTTGTAGCCCAGGCTGGCCTCAAACTCACAGCGATCCTCCTGCCTCAGCCTCCCAAGTGCTGGGATCACTGGCATGCGCCGCCACCCTTGGCTTTAGTGTCACAAAAGCTCCCAGCCCTTTGCTCTCCTGTTCATTCCCCCAGCAACTAGCAACTTCTGGGCTGGAGACAAGAAGCAGAGAGTGAAACAAGAGGACAGAAGGAGAGAGAGAAATAGGGTGACACAGGCAACTTAGCTCAGGGCCCTGAGCCCAGGGAGGGCAGTGCCTGCCATAGAGCTGCTCACCCAGCGCTGGGGAGTCACCCACAGCCCACCTGGCGGGCACAGGAGGCAGGGCCAGGGCAGACACCAAGGCACAGGGACCCCGCGCTCCAGGCGAGCCCGGAGTGAAGCTGGAGCTCGTGGTCCCCTGGCTGATCCCGCCCCCCCGCACAGCACAGGAAAGTAAGCAAACGCCAGTGCCCTGCAGGCGGCCCCGCACCCCAGCCAGAAGAGGCAAAGGTGTCTTCCTCTAAGGTCCCAAATGCCACCAGGAAACCTGTTCCCAACCCCACAGCAGGAAGTAGACGCTGTGCCCACCCAGCCCCAGCCTCTACCAGCGTGGCCAGGAGGCCTGGACTGCAGCTGCTGCCCAGATGGCAGGAAATTTGATTTCCCACCACCCCCGCCAGGCTGGCTCGCCAGGCCCACAGCTGTCGGGCACCCCGCGCTGCTCTCCGCCTCCGCCCTGTGCCCGCCGCCTCCTCCTCGCTCTGACCGAGGGACAGCTCCAGGGCCAACGGTGGGCAGCCCGAGGACGGGCACAGGCAAAGTGTCCCTCAACCCCAGGGACAAAGCTCCCTCGAAAGGATGCAGAGAGAGGGTGGGGCCCGAGTGATGCCCGCGCAGCCTCCCCATAGCCTGGACCACCCAGAGCCCCCGGCCAGTACCAGTGACAGTGGCTTCGCCAGGCCACCGTGTGACACGCACCTAGAGACCTCTGCCAGCGGGGCCAGGGCACAGGGAGGAGAAGACATAAGCTCGCCCTGTGTGGCCGAGTGTTTTTATTACCATCCTCATCAGCTGCTAAACCACAGCCCCGCACCCCGCCGTCCTTCAAACCGCCCCCTGCCCTCCCAGACGGAGCCCAGACTCCCAGGCGGCTCCCCGTGCCAGGAGTGAGCCAGGACAGGCGGCTGCTGCCTGGGTCTCCTGCCCCCCACCCTGTCTAGGTCGCACTCCTGCCTGCTCCTGTCGCCTGGGGAAGCGTTGCATGCGCTGTTCCCTTTGCCTGGAACACTGTCCCAGCCCTCCGCCTAACTTCCGCTTTCATCTTGGACAGATGCCCCCTCCTCCGGGAAGCCCTCCCGGCCTCTGGGGTTGGGCTGTCACGGGGTCCCTAGATGTGCAGCAGGGTCCCTGCTGACCCTGTATTGCAGGAATGAGCCATGGGACAAGCAAGTGAAGACAAAGGCACCCCAAGGCCAGGGGAATCCAGCTCTGAGACGGCTGCAGCTCCCCTAACCCCGCCCAGCCTGGTCCACATGCCTGATTCTCTACACTTCCCCGGCTTCCTGGCCCTGCCTCTCCTGCCGTGGCTGATCCTGGCCAGCTCAGGGCGCCAAGGAGCTTTGCCCAGGCTGCCGAGCAAGTCCAGTGCCCAGAGCCCAGGCCCGGACCAAGGGGAGGAATCTGGACGCCCTTGGCAGGAAGGGTTCACTGCTGTCCACTGACCAATTTACCACTCTGGCCCACCTTGAGCTGAACACTATATCCCCGGGTGCAGGGACGTCCTAGCAGCCCAGGGAGGGAGAAATAGTCAGTCCCATTTTATAGCTGGGGAAACTGAGGCTCTGGGACTTGTCAGAGCATATAGGTGGCAAGTAATAAAAATACGAAGTCATGGTCAGGACAGAAGCCTCCTCCTGACACAAGGTCACGTGGGTGACTTCGGAGTGGACAGCCTGGTCTGGAAGATGACAGCCTCAGCTACCATCATCATTCGCGGTCTTGGGACAACCCTGAGCCATAAAAATCCCAGCCAAGACCACCCAGCTTCTGACCCTCGGATACTGAGGTAACAAATGCTTATTGTGCAAGCCACCAGGTTGAGGGACAATCTGCCGCCCAGGGAGAAACAACATGGGATCTCCCTCCCGACACCCCTTACCCCACGTGCTCTGGACCCACAGGACGCCCACCCCCCAGTGGCAGCGGCCCCTCGCTGCTCCGAGGCAGGTGAGGGCAGGAGCAGGGACAAGATGACACTTACGTCCAACCTCCAGCTGCACTTCTGCAGAGACGGAGCCCAGCTCGTTGACAGCCCGGCAGGTGTAGACCCCAGCATCCCTCTCCTGAGCCGAGGGGATCCGCAGAGTCCCCGAGCTGGAGCCCTCAGGGGCCAGGATCACTTCCAGATCCCCTGGGGGTACAGAGGGAAAGCGTTGGCAGGGGCCATGGTTGCCATGGAGACCAGGGTCTTGGGCTGCTTGGGTCCTGGGCTCCTGCACCCCCACAGGCTAGGTGGCGCTGCTCGGAGGCAGTTTTGCCCCGAAGTTGGGACCCTTGGGGTCTTTCCTGAACCACTGTGCCAGCCAGGGCTGGGGCTTAGCACCCCCATATGACAGGCTCAGCACCGAGGGCCCCATGCCTGGCTCTCCCACTGGGCACCAGCCCCCGCCCCAGGGTCCAGCTGGATCTGCTCGCTGAGGTGACCACACCCCACCCCAACATCACTTCCCCTCGCCCCCTCTGGCTCCCCTGATTCTGACACCCTCTCTCTTTTTACTCTGATAGAGTCCGGATAACTTGAAACTGACCATCCTAACCATTTTCATGGGCGGGGGTTCGGGATGCCCAGCAGTTCACACTCGCAGGACCCTCTGAGCCCGGCCCTCCCCGCCCCGACAACCGCCTCCCTTTCCGGCTCTGGCGCCGCCTGCTGCAGGACCTCTCTGGAATGGAACCCTCCAGTTTGCCTTTGGCAGCCTGGCTTATGTCGCCCAGCACTTGTCTCAAGGTTGTAGCTAGTGCCAGAAGTGCATTCCTTTGGGGGCGCGGGTACAGGAGACTGAGCCCAGGGTCTTCACATTGAGCTACATCCCCAGCCTTTTTCTACTTTTTAAAATTTGAGACAGAGTCTTGCCAAGTTGCTAAATTGCCCAGGCTGGGTTTGAACTTTCTTACCTCGGCCTCCCAGAGTGCTAGCTAAGATAACAGGCAAGAATTTTATTCCGTCTCGATGTTGAAGAACAGTCCATCATAAGACCCCCTTTTAAAAAGGCCTTGGGCTGGGGATGTAGCTCAGTGGCACAGCACCTGCCTGGCAAGTGTGAGGCCCTGAGTTCGATTCCCAGTACCAAAAAACAAAAAGCAAAAAAACATTAAAAGAGCCTCTAAGGGCCAGATGTAGTGGCGCACACCTATAATTCCAGCACTCTGGGAGGCTGAGGCAGGACAATCACAAATCTGAGCCCAGCCCAGGCAACTCAGCAACTTAGAGCCCTTGTCTCAAAATACAAAAAAGGAGCTGGGGGCATCATTCCATGTGAAGGCCCTGGGTTCAATCCCCAGTGCCATAAAAATTAGCTAATTAATTGAAAAGGGCGGCTCAGGTGTGGCCTGAGGCTCTGACCCGGACACGCAGCGTCAGGAGCACTGAGCTAGGAGCCCAGGGCCAGAGCAAGCCCTCTCTTTCTCCTCCCCTCCTCACCCATCGCACTGGCACTGTCACCGTCACCATGGCTGAGGACACAGAGCACAGCCGGTTTCCAAACACCCAGAGACACCAAGCCACTTGCCTGAGGTCACCCAGCGAAGCCAGAATTCAAACCCAGAGTGGCCCCGATGCCGGCTGTGTGGGCTCCAGCTCGGGTGGGCGTGCAGACGGCTGGACCCCACGGCTGTCCCCAGGCCTCCACGTGTGACCCCGTCCTGGGAGGCAGAGCCGACCCCCGGTCCCTCTCCCCACCGCCCCACTCACCTCGATACCAGACGACCCGGGGTGGGGGCACCCCTGCGGCCGTGCACCCCAGCACAGCCTCCTGCCCCACGGCGGCAAGCACCATGGTGTTCACAGCGGACACCGACGGGGGCTCTGGGGGCAGAAGGGGCGATTGGGCCACCCCACCAGGGCCCCGGATGGAGGCTGTCAGTAGCTCCTATGCGCCCCTTACCCCATCCCGGTCCCTGGACCCCAGAGCAGCCACGCCAGGCCCCGGTGCTCCCTGTCCCTCGGCCTGGAAGGGTGTTCAAGTGTCACCTCTTAGACAGGCACCTGGGGCCCCATCCCTGGCCCCCACCCCCACCCTGTCCCTCACATCACTGCTCTGGGCTGGTCATGGCACCTTCTCCTCCAAAAGCACCTTGGTCTGTGCCTCTCCATCAGAATAAAAGTCCCTAGATGCTCAATAAATATGTGTGATGGGAAGGGGGAAGAAGGAAGGGTCTCTCGAGTACCTGTGTAGTACAGGGTGACCGTCTCCTCATCTGTGCCCACTTCATTAGCAGCCCAGCAGGTGTAATTCCCGGCATCCTCTGGGGCTACTCCCTGGATGATCAGGGTTCCCTGGGGATCCACACGGATTCTGGAGTCGTGCCATGAAAACATGTCAGGTCACACAAGGCTGGATCCACGTTCATCATTCACAAATTAATCAACCTCAGTAGTGTCTATGCTGATGGCTTACCCTGGGTTGTTGGCAAAGCACTGTATGTAAGTGGTCATTTAATCTACAAGGCTCAGAGAGGTAAGGTGACCTACCCCGGGACACACAGCCTCAACAGTAGAAGCTGGATTTGAACACAAGTCTGCTGGACTGGAGCCTGAGCTCCCGACCACCAGTGCCACACTGGGGTACAGTTAGGTTTCCAGAGAGATGTCGCTCCTGAGCCTCAGGTGACCCTGGAGGGAGGTACAGCAATGCCCCTCCCCATGTGCAGATGGGTAGACCAAGCCAGCCCTGGAGTCCTCATCCGCCTGCTGCAGCCCCAGAGCTGTGTCCCGGACCTCACCTGCCGTCCTTTTGCAGGGCGAGGCCCTCACGGTTCCAGGAGAGGTGGGGTGCAGGGTACCCTGAGGCTGAGCAGCTGACCTTCACCTCCACACCCTGGGAGAAGCGCTGGGCCCTGGTGTCAATGCTCACCCGAGGTGCTTCTGCAGCCCAGAGAGAGGACAGTGGCAAGGGCTGTCAGAGCCGGCCCAGGGCCCTTCCTTGTGCCACCGCTACCCACAGGGGCAGAGGGAGCCAGGGTCCAGAAGGGACCAGACCACTAGGGCCTGCCTGAGTGCTGGCCACCCACATCCTCCCCGAGAGCTGCTGGGAGGGGCCGCAGGGGACACCAAGCAGCCGCCAGGGCTGGTAGATCTTGTCTCCGGGGACCTTGGGGTGATCCCCAAGGCCTGCCCTAAATTCACCACAAGATGAGGTTCCATCCTAGTCCATGGGGTGCTCACTGGGGCGGCGAGCTGCCTACAAAGCCTGGAGAGGCGCATGCACCCTCCCTGCCTTCACCACGCAGACATAACCAACAGATCTCCCACCAACTGAGCCAGGTGGAGCCTCAGAGTCTGCGCAGTGCACCTCAGGCAGCCGACCCAGCACCGTGACTCGAGGAGAGACCCTTGCGAAGTTGCCCACTTTCACACCTGGCAGGACAGCACCCGGGTGGGGGTCTGTCTAAGCCTGGGCAGACCCGGCTGCAGCCAGGTCTTTGGACTCCAGATGGCAGCTCTTTCCGCTGCCTCCTCTGCTCCCATCTAGCAGTGTCCCTACCCAGTGCGTGCTGCTCGAGTGTGACTGCCCGTCTCCCAGACTCAATCCCTGCCCTACACACTGGGCTGGAGAAGGTTGACAATGGAGGGCTCCGTGTCCTGGAAACAGGACAAGACACGGAGGCCAGCTCTGCCTACAGCAACAGGCACTTAGGTTAGATGGGAGGAGGGACTTCCCAGCAGCAGGAATCACTGGGCTTGGGTGAGGAGGCTACAGAGTCCTCTCTGCCTGACGTTTCAGAGCACATTGGAAGGGCTGCTGCCAATTGCCAGGGACAACATCCCGGCAAGTTTGGAGTTTGAGGTACATGCCAGGGAGAGGACGGGGGCAACAGCAGGAAGCACCTTACCTCGCACCAGGAGCCAGGTGGACGCCCTCGTGGCCCCGTTGGCGTTGCTGGCCATGCACTGGTACCGCCCGCTGTCACTGGGGACAACCGCACTGACCTCCAGGGACAGATTGGCCAGCTGGGTGACTCGGCCCGTGGAAGCAGGCAGGACTCGCCAGTCCCGGACCCACGTCAGATTGTAGGGCGCATCACCTAGGACTTGGCAGGATAGGACAGCGGTTTCCCCTGGGGACACGGTCACGTTGGGGGCAGGGACCAGCTGCGGCGGTGGATCTGTAGGGACGGGATAACAGGAGGGACTGCCAGGCGGAGGCGGAGGCACTCATCCCCTATCCCTCTGGACACACACCGGCCAGCACAGCACTCAAGCAGCATCTGCTCACCACACGGGGACTCCCCAGGGAGAACTCGCGTCCCCACCGCTGGCCGTCACACACCCTCGTGGAGCTGCAGAGCGTGCGTGTGCTTGTGTTTTCCAAATGACAGCCAAGTGCAAGATTAACCCACCCTACGTGTTCTTCACACTCTCAGAGCCGATAATGCCCCGCTGGGGAATAAGCTTGGGAAACAGCCAGCTCGGGGAGATCGTGCTGCACTCCAAACCACTCTCTGTCCCCACAGCAAAGCTATTTTGAGAGGTCAAAATTGAGAAATAAGGTCACTGTCCCAAAGGAGCTAGGAAGAGCTAGCTGAGCTGCTACATGGGCAGCAAAAAGCCAGAAGGGACAAGGTCAGAGACCGCCTAAAAAACACAAGGGCCTGCGACCTGGCAGAAAGAGCTGGACCCAAGCGGCTCCCCCACGCCTGTGTGCGATGCCCACACAGCCAGCGCCACGGCCACTAAAGGATGTGACACTCCCAGACGCGGGAAAACCTGGCTGTGGACAAAGTAAAGCAGAAGTGAGACATCGCCGTCCATGCTGCTGGGTGGGACCCAAGAAACTTTATCATAAAAGCCAACCTATTGTTTTCTGGAGATACACATGTGATGTCAGGAGGATTACTGTTGAGTTTTAAATATGGAAAATATGACCAAACTTAGCAACTGCTAAGTCTAAGTCATGGGCACCCCAATTCCTCATACCATCCGACTTTCCATCCTCATTTCCAAAATCCCACCTTCACCCGGAGGCACTGGCCTGCTGTGTTGGGTGGCAAAGAACCGGGTCACTGAACGCCCCTAGGATATCACTGTGTTTTTGTTAAAATGCACACACAGGGAGAGATCTGAAAGGAAGTAGATCGAACACTGGATGGCGGAATTACAGATGGTTTTGATCTTCTATGCCGGTCTAGAGTTTCCCTGTCTTCCTACCAGGAGCATGTAATGTGTTAGACTTGAATGTAAAGTTGTTAAATCGGGTTTCTCTACAAGACGGCTTAGCTTTGAGATTTTTAAACAACAAAGCCAAGGAGCTGGGGATTTAGCTCAGCGGCACAGTGCCTGCCTGGCAAGCGCAAGGTGACAAGTTTGATTCCCGGTACCAGAGAAAAACAAACAAAAAAAAAAATTTAAAAATTTAAAAAAATAAAAAACAAAGCCAAGTTCATTTTGAGATGATTGATAAGAGTTTTGCCTCCAGAGTGGGGACCCTAAGAGGGACGGTGACCCACGGGAGCCACCTGCAGCTGGCCCAAAATCCAGACCAAGAAGTCAGGGCGGGACTCGTGCCAGCCAGCGTGACCCGAGCTAGAATCCCTGACCTTCCTCCGGCTGAGACCCTCAGGTCACCAGCGGGTGACACAGCCCCAAACAGCCAGCAAGCAGGTGGCGGCATGAACAGCCACTCGGGGTAAGGGACAGTCCCCCGCCACTGGGTGGAGACTCGTAGGGAGGAAATTGCTGATGCAAGAGCCAGAGAGCAGGGTGAGAAGGGTCCACAGGGGGCCCGAGGGACAGACCTGTGACGACAATCTGGGCCCTGGCCCGGCCGGCCCCAGCACTGCTGACCGCTGTGCACTCGTAGGTCCCCTCTTCGGCCTTGGAGGCCCGCGGGATCTCCCAGCTGCTGTTCCCCGACTCCCTGATACGAACAGCAGGGGGCACAGCCCCAGTAACCCGTCAGGACCCCAGCTGCCCCCAGCCCTCAGGGACCCCAAACCCTGCCGGGACCCAGCAAGAAGAGGCAATCAGCCGAGGACACAAACTGCCACGTGCTGTGTGAGCCTGAGCGAGGCCCCTGCCCTCTCTGACCCTGGACTCCCATCCACACGGGGAGGTCCTTCCTGCCCTGGCTGCGCTAGCAGGACCCAGCATGCATGGGCTGGGTTTTCCAGGAAATAAGGAAGGCCAGCGAGTCTGGGGCATCTGCCTGGCAGGAATGGGGGTTTCGGGGACCCACTCGCCCCCATCCCTGGCCATGCTGCATGTCCCCGGGGTTGGGCTGCCCAGGAAGACAGGGACCAAGCCCGGGTCCCTCTCCTGCCACCCTCTCCTGAGCCTCTCCAGGCCCCAGAGCCCTGCGGCGTGGTCGCTCACAGGAAGTGCCTCTCCTCGCCCAGCCGGACCCTATCGCGGTGAAGCTGCAGCCGGAATGGGAGGGCGCTGTGCACGGAGCAGGAGATCAGCAGGGGCTGGTGCCGGTAGCCGTGGACCCGGGCTGGCATGCTGACCAGGGGGGCACCTGCAGGCAGGACCAGTGTGCAGAGCCCTCCAAGACCCCCCAGCCCACCCTGCCACGCACAGCGACGCGGAGACCCGGAGGGCCAGAGCAGGAGAAGAGACTCCAGCCCCAGCCCCAGCGCTCTGCGGTCACCAAATGCAGGCCCCGCACCCCACTAGGCCTCAGTTCCACCTGTGCAAACTGGGGCCTCCTGGCCCTGAAGGCATGGGGTGGTCTTGAGGAGGCAGTGAGGGGTGGTGTGGGGAGCCACACGGGGCCCCCAAGTCCCACCAGTCATAGCTCAGCTGCCTTTTGGGTTTCTTTTGTTTTGGTTTTTTGTTTTTTGAAGCAGTGTCCTGCTATGTACTCCAGGCTGGCCTCAAACTCGAGGCAATCCTCCTGCCTCAGCCTCTCAAGTGCCAGGGCGACAGGCATGCATCCCCAACCATCCCCAATCTGCACTCCATCTATGGAGCCAGTTCTGACATCGTGAACCCTGCTCCCAGACTGATCCGGGCTCCCCTGAGAGCGGATGGGGCAGAGCCAGCGCCTCTGTGCCTGCAGGGTCAGTTCTCCCCAAGTCTGTGGTGGGAAAAGTCTTTTTGTTTCAAAATAAGTTCAGCTGGCAAGGGCTGGGAATGCAAAATTCACATGAACTATTGAGATAAAACAAAAGACTTCAGTGGAATCTCAGCTGACGTTGAGCCCCTGGGGAGGCCCCATGCCCCTCGCCTGGGCCTGGTCTCCCAGTGACTCCGACTCTCTCCTTGGCGGTGGGGGAGGTCTGAGAAATTCCCTGCGGGCTCCAGCACCCTCCTGCCTGTCCGCCAGCACGGAGAGGGGAAGGGATGCTCAGGGTGACACAACGCCAGACCTCCTCAGAGCCTGGGGGCTGGGAGGGCGGCTGCTGGTGACATCATGCTCCAGGCTGCCTGCCACCTCCCGGGGGAGAAGGGTGTTGGACTGCACAGCCACGTCCTCAATGTCACAGCAGCTGCCACTCACCCACCCACGCAGGCGCCCAACAGCCATCAGGCTCCACCTCCCGAGCTGAAAGGGCCCAGGGACCCCAGGTCCACCCCACACCCGAGCCCAGAGCCCCCGGCCTGAGGCAATCTCCCACTCCCCAAGCCTGGAAGGCGGGAGGAAGGAAACTCCGCACCACATCCTCCTCAGGCCTGCCCCTTCTCATGGCCAGCCACGGTGGAGACTAAACCCAGAGCTAAACCCTAAACCCTGGGTCTGTGCAAAACCTCAGGGAGAAAAACCGACCTCTCCCTGCTGGTTCCTTCCTGCAGCCTCCACCTCAATGCCAGGAAGGGCACAGCCAGGGAGGCCTCCAATCGCCACCCCTTCAGGGCACCATGGAGTCTCAGGATCAGAGCCTTCCTCCCCGTGTCCCTTCGGAAGTGGGGAGACTGCTTCTTGCGGGGTCTCCCACAAAGAATTCCCAGGGGTCAGTGGCACCCAGCTCCAGGAGAAGGGGAGCGTGGGCAGGAGGAAGGCACAGAAGCCCAGTGAGGAGGCCGGGGGCCAGGGAGTCCAGAAGCCCCCTGCCAGGGCCAGCGGTGGACCTGGAAAGCTAAGGCGTCCACCTGCCCTCTGCGAGCCGCCTGCCCATGTGGGGAAACCAGGCAGAGCTCTGCGTGTGGGAAGCAGCACAGCATGGCCAAAGGTGAGATGACACATGGCCTGCTCCTGCAGGGGCACGATGGCCACAGCCACGTGTGCAGAGCTGGTGTCAGTCCTCGCATCCATAAATAGGGACGCCCCTCACAAGGCGTGCAGTAACCCTAGGGAGCCAGCACCCGGGCGCTCGACCCGGGACTGGCCCGTGGGAAGAGCTCGCCATGGTGACTAGAATTAGTACCCCTGAGCTCTGGCTCATGACAATGGCGATGATCACTGAAACGTGAGTACCCACATCTGCCCTGCCTCCTCCCATGTGTGCAATGCCCAGCACCACACGGTGGGCACCGAAAATGAAAGTTGGACAGTGGGTGAGTGAGTGGGGGATGGGGGATGGGGATGGGTGCACAGATGTATAGTTACTCAAAACAAATGACAGATAGATGACAGATGATAGATGGGTGAGTTGATGGGAGGAAGGGTGGATGAAGGGACAATGGGTAAATGGATAGATGGATGATGGCTGGTTAGATAGATGGACAGACAAGTAAGTGAGTAGGAGATGGATGGATGGAGGATGGGTATCTGGGTAATTAGTGGATGAACAGATGAGTGGATGGACAGATGAATACTTTTTTTTAGACAGGGTCTTGCTATGTAGTCTAGGCTGGCCTCAAACTCATGGCTATCCTCCTGCCTCAGCCTCCTGCATGCTGGGATTACAGGCGTGCACCACAACACCCAGTTTCAGATGAATACTTTAAATCTCTAAACTGAGAGCCTCATCTGGAGCATCCGAGTATTTAGCACAATGCCTGACAGGGAATAACTGTCCAGAGAAGTTGAATGAGCAAACATTTCCTAATCTAATTAATCAGGGAAGACATCCAGGAAGAATCAGGACTCTGGAAGGACGAAAAAGCCTACCACATACCTGGAGCCACCCCACTGTAGGAAACCCCGGACACGCGAAGGAGGGAGTTTCCCTCCTGATCCTTGCCCTTCACTTTGAGGTAGAAGCGCTCCTTGGGGGCGTGGAAGGGCGCCCCGGCCCACAGCTGAGGAGTGGACTCATTGGAAAGGGGCTGCACCGGCAAAGTCAGGAGGGGCCGCCCCGAGTTGTGCGAGAGCTCCACGGAGTCCAGCCGGCCGGGTGCCTGCAGGCCCGTGGCGTTGATCACCAGGGAGATGGGGACGCCTGCAGGGCAGGGGAGAGCAGAACGCGGGGCTGGCACCTGGGTTGGCCCGGACCACACCTCAGGGGCCCAGCCGGCTCGGTCCTCCTGCCCCCGCACTCCTGCTGCCTCCACCGCTCACGCTGGGGGTTGGAGACAGTCCCCGGCGCGGGCTGCTGTCCGTGGTCCTGAAACGCCACTGCGCGGCCGACGCTGGCTTCCTGTGCCTGTCACACCCCTCTCTGCAGACCTGGCCCTCGGGACCAGGAAGGACCACGTCCCCAGCCCCAGCCCTAGGCCCTGGCACTAGCCACCGTCAGACCGGCCTCAGGAAGGGAGAGCAGGGGCACGCAAGCTTGGGGACTCCCAACTCCAGCCTGTCCCCGTGCTCAGCTTTTGTCTGCCTTTCTTCTTTCCCTATCTTGATGGAAAGGGGGCAGCTTCCACCACATCCCCAGAGACGCAGAACTGGACTTGGGTTTCATCATTTCCTTAGATAATTTGGAACCTCAGCCAAGTCTCTTCCTTTCCAGACAGTTGTTGGGATTTTTTCTCTCAAAGATCATTGACAGCAGACAGTAGGTGTGGGCACTTATGTCTCGAGAAGCCTATGTCTTCTGCAGACCCTGAACACGCTGGGGCAGATAAGGATCTAGAGGTCCCAACTCCTCTAAACAGCCAGCATGGAGACGCAGGCCTTGTCCCCACCTGAAATCAGCCAGCGGTGTGTAGCAGCTGCTCCCTGAGCCCAGGTGGCCACTACCCTGCTAGCCACAGACCCCTGTGGGCCCCAGCGTCCCTGGCACTGAGGCCAAGTGGCCGTCACCATTCAGCATTTGCAATTGCTTTGCTGTCTCTCTTCTTTTAAAAGATGTCTTTCTCCCAATCTTGATCCAAAGCAGAGACCCAAGGAGGTCCCACCGGGGGTCATTGTTCACCCACTTCCACTGGGGACCGGCCCCGGGGATGGGCTCGCTGTCAGACCCCGCTCTGTGCTGCATTCAGGATCTCTCTGCGCTCCTGGCTTTAGAGGCGGGGCCATATTTCCCGGCTTCTACCCACTTCCTGCTACTGGCGAAACTAACACAAAATGAGCTCACCGCTGCCTTTCACACTAAAGATGTCTCTGCTGGTGCTGGTGCAGGAACCGAGAGGAGAGGACACCAGGAAGGCACAGGCCAGAAGGAAATCCTGAGGGTCCGGCACATGCTGCTTGGATCACCTTTCAGTCATCCAGAGTGGCCTACCTGGCCCCAGACCCTCCAGCCCCTCTTCTGAGCTGATCCCACCTCTGAATGGCCTTAGCAAGGGACCATATTTTCTAAACTATAAGTTGGCCCCAGATGGCATTTTCTGGAGCTCAGGGAGCCTGACTGTGAAGGACCTGGCTTCCCCTAGAGGAGCTGCCCGGGGCCCACAGCCCCCCTCAGTCCCTGGGGGTGGCTTCCGATTTGAAAACTGAGCCTCCAACTTCAATGCCCCCACCAGGCTACACCAGCCTCCACCTGCCTGGGATGGACACTCACCCTTCAGAGCAAGCTACAGTCTCCTTCGAGAGGAGCCATCAGCTCCCCGGCACCTGTTCTGTCACTGAACTAGCTCCATGTTCACGGGAGAAGTAAGGGGGCTTCAGCAGATGTGAGCTCAGTAATAAGAGACAACTTCAGGGTCCTAGAGGCCTCTAGTGGCTGGGAAGATGCTCTGAAGGTAAATGTTACACATCGCCTGGGCTGGGGCTGATGGAGAGCATGCTGGCTTAGAGCTCAGTTTATAAGATGTGATTGAAAACAGCATGTGTTTAAATTTTTTAAAAATTTATTACAGTGAAAGACACATTGCTATCCGTTCCCCTAAAACCCTCCCCCTCACTTCAAACACACTGATCCCACTGCTCCTGCCACTTTCTGCAGCAGCTCTGGAAATCCTTTTTCCTGGGTGTCTTTAGTTGTGTGGTTGTGGCTGCCTGAATGTTTTGAATCAATTCAAAATGCTGACCTTCCATGGTCATTTTCACTTTGGGGAGGAGCCAGAAGTCACATGGTGCCAATCTGGTGAATAGGTGGATGAGGACACAGCCCCACGTCTTTACGAGCTGCCTTTCCATTGGATGGCGCTGGGCAGCGGTGTTCACTGAATTTTTTACTATACCTCAGACAGACCCTCAGGAAAGAGGACTCCAGAGCTGCTGCAGAAAGTGACAAGGAAGATGGGATAAGTATGTTCGATGTGGGGGGGAGGATTTAAAGGGAATCCACGGCCTTGGGTCTTTTACTGTGATAAATCTTTATAATTTAAACACTGATCATATTTTTTGATCCCTACTGGTACATCAGGTAGACTGGGAGAAGGGCTGAGCCTCAACTCTGCAGGCTCCATGCCAGTCACACCATCTGCAGGGCCGGGGGCACAGTACCTTCCAAGGGCCACTCGATGGTGTGGTTGAGGTCCAGAGAGGGCTGCGTGGAGAAGCCGGCTCGGAAGTCGATGTCGCTGATGCCCGTGATCCTCACCGAGTGGCGGCCGCTGCTGTAGACCTGGCATAGGCCCATACGTTACCTGAGAGTCTGTCTCCAGCACCCAGCTCTGGGGCAGGAGGCCACCAAGTTGGCCCACTGGTCCCGCAGCAACAGCTCCAGATCTCCCGCCTTTGCGGACATGGCAGCTCACCTGCACCCAGCACAGGAGCACAAGCCCTGCTGACCACCCCAAGCTCTCTCTCGAAGCCGCTCTGCCCTTCAGCCCTCCAGCCCCGAAACATCTGCGAGCCCTATCTGCACCGTGCCTCTAACTCCCTCCTCACCATCCCTAGGGCGTTAGAGCTCAGGGCTCAAAGGCACTCAAAGGTCTGAAGGCAGAGGGTCAGTGCTACCCTTCTTTTGCTGGCTACGGCAGCCCTGGACCCAGAGGGTTCCCAGTCAATGCCCCGCTGGCAGGCACTCAGACCACCCTGAAGCAGCAGCCCGCTCCACCCCAGGATGCTCCACAGGCTGAAGCAGCCTGCAGGCCCCGGCTTTCAGCCTCCTGCTGATCACTGCGAGTCCCTGGCATCCCCCCCACACCACCCCACCATCACCCTTGCTACTCTTACACACTCCTCAGTTCAAGCCCAAGCCAGCTTGGACAGCTCCTCGGAACACTGAAGTGTTTCCTCTAGGTCCTTGACTGCTCCCAAATTAGCCCCAACCACTCTGCTTCCTCTGCAAGCAGAACTCTCCTCTGTCCTTGGACCTGGACTCCTGTTGCTACGCCAACAGTACCGCCCAGGTCCCAGGCCCCCCGCTGTCCACCTCCACCCTGCACCGGGGCCCCTACCTTGATGGACCACAGCCCAGGGTGCTTGGGCTTAAAGGCCACCACCTTGGCGGAGTCGGGAATGCTGAGGAGCACGTTGAGACCCTCGTCCTTCTGGAGGATCCGCCCTGCGGAAGCCCCAAGTCCTGCTCAGTGCCCAGCCCAATCCTGGGGTGCCCGGCTCCCACAGCCCAGGACGCTGGCCCCAGGTTCCCAGGGACTGCTGAGAGGGAGGCAAGTATTTTAATTCCTGCCTTCTTCCCCACCCCCACCCCCCTCTCCCCCACCTCATGATCCGTGGAGCCTTGGGTCTGAGCCCCGGCCACCCCGGGTCTGCGTCTTTGTCCCATCCTGGGTTTCCGACTCAGTCCTAGGTCCCCAGAGGAGGCCAGCCCCGGGGCAGCACATACCCAGCGGATCTCGGACTTCGATCTCAGGCCCAGGCCCGCTCAGGGAGATGGTGACCTCCTTGAGGCTGGGGTCGAAAGGAAGTCTCCACGTGTGCTCGCCCCCCGCCTCATGGTCTGTGGACAGCAGGTGCACCTTGGAGGCCTGGATCGCAGACTCCACCCACGTCAGCACCTACAGGGATGGGTGCCCTGCTGTCTGGCTGTGTCTGACCCGCCTGGGCCAGGTCCCCAGCTGGGTGTAAGTTGCATCGGCCCAGTGCGTTTAGGGGCACAGGTGGTGTCCAGGTCACTCATGCCCACCCACTCCCCACCCACCTACACCACGCTTGACCTGGACGCTGTCACCCCTTGGCTTCTCCAGCTCAGCACGGCAGAGCCTGACTCAAGGGCACCCAGAGGGGTCAGCTGGGGGAGGGGCAGAGCAGGGCCCAGCCCTCTGCTAGACACCCTCCCTGCCCTCCTTCCTTCCTTCCTCTTTTATTTATCTATCTCTCTGGTTTATACTGATATTCCCAAGTCAAATTTCACATTGCAGGTTTTTTTTACTAGGTTTATTTGACTATAAACCAAAAAAAAGAAAAAAGAATTGCAAAGAAAGATTACTCAGTGGTTTGAAGTTGGAAGGACAATCCATATAGCAATTTTGAAACTATGTCTCTTATAGAATAAAATAAGTAAAGACGGTAACTTTTTGTTTGCTTGTGATAAAGTCTCACTCTCTATCCCAGCCAGCCCTCGAACTCATGATGTGGCCCAGGCTGGACTCAAACTCACAATCCTCCTGCCTCAGCCTCCCGAGTGCTGCATTTATCGGTGCACACCACCACACCCAGCTGCTGCCAATATGTTCTGAATCAAGATTTTCTCTTATAACAAAACGTAAGAGAAAGCTACAGGTTTGCAATCAAATGAAGTAAGTCTAAAAACCTGCAATATGAAATTTGAACTGGAAATATCAATATAAACCAGATGTATAAATAGAAAGATAGATAAATATAGATGATGTAAAATAGATAGATAATAGGATAGATATAGATGATAGGTAGATGGATAGATAGATAATATGTAGATAGATATGATAGAGAAAGAGAGAGAGAGAGATAGGCAGAGCAGCACTCCAATCCAGAAATCCCAGTATCAATGGTGACTACCAGTACCCACATTCGTTGTAAACACATTCCTCACTGGGGCTCTTTGGAAAAATGGCTAATTCTGGGTTTGAGGCAGGGAATTTATAAGGCCAGCCAGCCAGAAATGCTTATTCTGCAAAGCAAGAAACTGTCAAAGACAGACAAGGACAAAGCAAAGGGACATAGGAAGCAGCCTGAGTCACTCTCCCTAGCTAATCTGGGATAATGTGAGCCCCAAAAGAGAATAACAATTGAAACACACGGAATTATATAATCCATGTCCCCTAACGGTACTCATAAGAGAGGAAAAAAAAAAAAACCCTCAAAACAGTGAAACCCTGCCTGTCCCCGGCAAGTGACCTCCTAATTCCAGAGGAAGGGCTCAGCATGGCTCCTGGCTTTCCAATGGGAACTGAACTTCTGAAAAACTAGATCATCCCTTCTGATGAGCAGGCGCTCTTCCTGGAAGGAAGCCCAACGCAAATGTGGAAGGGATGAGGCAAGGAGGAAATCATTATTTTGCAACCCCTAATGAAATCATCGTTTCGGGCCAGGCTCCTCGGTGGATGCTAATGCCATTAAATGGAAGGCGGATGGGGAACTGGACGTCCGCACGGAGCCGCAGCCTTACCCCGCAGATGGCCTGAGTCACAGAGGGAGAGAGATGTGGGCTCTCGACACGGAGAGCTGGCTGTCACCACCCAACCCACTGATCAAACTTATCATCAGTAATAGTGGAGCAATGAGACATTATTTGCCTCTTGATGGGAAGCAATAGCAACAGCTCTGCACCCTCCTGCCAAGAATGTCAGCCGTGGTCTAACCGGGCTGACGCTCGCTCGGTTTAGGCAGAAATGAGGAGCAAAGGAAAAAGTTAACAACACCATAAGGAAACGATCGGGGGGATTCCAGGGCGTGGGATGTGGTTCAAGTCGATGCCTCTTCAACAACTGTCACCCGAAAAGAGGGGACAGCTGGTTCCAGATCCACAGGGACTTTTTAGACATAACAACCAGACCAAAACACGTGGTATCTGATAAACTCCGGATTGGAAAAAAGCTGCTGTGCAAGGCACACTGAAATTCAAATATGGACCGGGTATCAGATGGTACTGGGGAAAACGATGATTAATTTTATTAGGTGATATTTTAGAGTAGATAATATCTTTTCTTTAAAAAAAAAATTCCACGTCAGGGCCCAGAGGTGTGTAGCTCAAAGGCAGTGATTGCACAGGCGCTAGATTCAACTCAAAGAAAGGAAAAAGAAAAAAATTCCTTGCTAAATTATTTATGTGAAAGGGGTCACGATAGAGAAGATGGGTGCGGTGGCTCACGCCTGTAATCCCAGTGCTGTGGGAGGCTGAGGCAGGAGGATGGCAAGTTCAATCCCAGCCTGGGCCTCTTAGTGATTTACTGAGACTTTATCTCTTCTTCTTTTTTTTTTTTTTTTTTTTTTTTAGATAGGGTGTCACTGTGCAGTTCAGACTGGCCTTGAGCTCACTTTGTAGCACAGGCTGGTCTCGACCTTGCAACGATCCTCCTGTCTCAACCTCCTGAGTGCTGGGATTACAGGCGTGCACCACCAGGTCTGGCTTAACTATTGGCCATCCTGGCTCTAAATCATCCAGCTCTGCCTACCTTATGATCTTGCATGGAAAGGAAAGGGAAAAAGAAAAAGAATTGTCTGAGATTTAGAAAATGCACATGTTTTGTTCATGCTGAGCTGAAACAAGATTTGTGGCAAGATTTCAATTATCACAAGATAAGAATTCAGTATCCTGAAAATTCAAGTGTTTTTAAACCTGGAACTACTCCAGTCTTGCTTTTGCCTAGATTTCTAAATGATGTGTTTCTCGTAAAGGTCCCACCTGTCTTGGCCAAGGAATGGGGACAAGGTTCTTGGTCCATGTGGAGATGGGCTGGAAGGGAGCCGGGCTAAGGGACCCCAGCTGGAGAGGCCAACAGAGGCTGGCAAGGTGGGCAGTGCCCCTTGACAGCCGAGAAGCAGCTCTGTGACCGCTGTCCCTTGCTGAGGCCAGGCCTTGTCAGAGCCCAGGAGGGAGCTGCAACTGAGCAAAGCAGCCGGGCGGTGAAGCCAGCCACAGGCGACAAGCACCCGTCAAGTCACACCCGCTACTGTGTCGCAACTGCCGTGACGAGCTTGTTCGAGATGTTCCGGTGGAGAAAGATGCCTGGGAGCTCCAGCTACTGAACCATGGAGAGCACCGGGACCTGGGCTAGCAACTGCCGACCCTGCCACGAAGGGGCCTGCCCCGTGAGCACGCGGCCACCCAGGTGCTGGCCTGCGGAGCTAGCCCTCTTGTCCCCAGCAAGGCCAGACGCCCTGTAGGGCCAGGCCTGGGAGGCAAGGCCTCTGGACCCTGTGCTGCCCCCGGGGCTCCGAGGTGGGATGTGGGAGGCTCCCCGGCACCAGGCCTCCATTAAGCAAGCACAGTGTTTATTTGGCGAAGGCAATGGCTTCCAGATGTTAACGAGCCGCGGAGCCTGGGAGCTGGCGCTGGGCTCCTCTCCTGGTGCTAATGGGGAAGGAACGAAAGAATCTGGCGCTGATACCTCGGCCAGATGGCTGCCGCTGGGCCCTTCATGGCAGATAAATCATCCCCAGAGGCCGCTTCCAGGACCCTTGACAGCCAGGGCGGCTGAGGAAATGCGAAGGGGACCAGGAAGCCAAACGGGCCTCAGAGCGCAGATCGGAAAACTGACAGCCAGGGCGGTTTGCAGGAGCCCGCGCCAGGAGGCTGGCAAGGATGGGCAGGGAGACCCTAGTCCTGGGGCTTTGGCGCTGGCTGGGAGGGCACCCCAGGCAGGGCTCCAGTCTTTTCTAGAGAAATCTCCTCCTCGGGGGGGCTTGCATGGACCCTTCTGGCTCCCCGGAAGCTTGGCCTTTGCTAATTCTTACCCAGCCTGTCTCCTTCCATCCTGGACACCCCTCCGCAGAGAAACTGAGCCCCGCAAAGCTCGGCACTGTGCTCTAGGGCCCCCAGCAGGTAGCGGGCACAGCTGCATGCAGAAGCCAGGCAGGTCTTGTCCCCAACCCAGGCTTCGAGCACTCCACCGCTGCTTGTCCCTGGGAGGGCCAGGATGAGGTCACCTCCAGGCCCCTCCTGGTCCCCTAACCAGAACCACCTGGTGGGAACCTCCCCGCCCCCTCCCTGGCCCGTCCATCCTGGAAAGCAGTCGCCTCTCCCTCGTCTAACACGCAGACTGGGGCAGCTTGTCCCCTGCACCCGCTGCGCTGGGTCCTAAGGGGCCCCAGTCCCCAGAACTGGCCACGCTGAGCTGGGAAGTGGGGGACGCGGGGGACACAGAGGAGAGGGAGAGGCCCCGTGCTCTCCTGGAAGAGACTTCCCTGGCCGAGGAGGGGGGCTGCCAGGACGATGGGTGTGCCGCCTCTCCTGCCCCGCCCGCCCCCCACCCCCTCGACGTCCAGGCCGAGCGACGGCCCACTGAGGCAGGTGTGCTGGGCAGGGCCGTGGGCTACCTCTGGGTCCTCCCCGAATCCCCACCCCAAATGCACACCTTTGGGACGGGACTAGAGGCCACATGGCCTGCCTCCAACAAGGTCCCGTCCATGTGAGGTGCCACCCTGGCCTCCACCTCCCCAAGCGGGGCTCCTGGGGCTAAGGGGCTACCGCCACTGCCGGGAAGAGCTCGGTGCACAGGAGCAGGCGGCCCATCCTGGACCAGGGGTCTGCTCCACCCCATCACCTAAGGCCGCGCTGCAGGCCGCAGGTGCCCAGTGAGGGAGAGAGCGGTGTGCGGAACAAGTCGCTCCCGCTGCTCTGGACACGCCCTGCAAGGGTCACAGCTAACCGCACGGCATGGCTTGGGGACCTCTCTCTGTGCTTCTGGGGAGGCCGCTCCCAGCTGGAGCCCCTGGGAAGACACAGCTCTCCCGCCGGTGGGGGGGCACCAGCCCTGGCTGCTCCACCGCGTTCCCGAGCTGGCCACAGGTCTGGGAACGTCTGGAAGGAGCCGGGCCAAGGCATTAAACTAAGGAACTGCAGGGCTCCGTGTCCGGGAAGGAGTGGATCCAGCCCCTCCCGGAGGCAGCCAGTCCGGTCATCAGGGTCCCTGCAAGACAGACACCTGCCCACCGGGCTCCCATGGCAGGAAGCGGGCCATCACGCCGAGCTGTGTGCTCCCCACCGCCCCGCCACCCTCCAGCGGCCTGCGGCCACCTGTGTCCGACCTGCTCCGGGCAGGAAACCTGTTCCCAGGCAGTTGCTTGGCGAGGTCTCCCTAAAAGCGAGCCCTGAGCCATCCGTCCACTCTGTGACGCCTCCCGTCCTCGCTTGGGGCTCAGCGCCAGGGGAGACTGACACGCCAAAACCCGAAGCCGAACGTGTCGCGAGGAACTGTAAACGCCATCTGTCATCAGGGAGTAAAGGCACGCTAATCTAAACACAGCCCTGGAAAGCCTTCCCTGCAGCTCAGAAATATGCAGCACACGAAACCTTGCCCGGAGGCGACAGCAGCCCGGCCCCACCGCCAGCCGGCCTCAGCGCTTCCCCTTCCTCCCAGGGCCCCCGGTGGCAGGGACATGGCATCCACCCCCGGCTGTCTCTCCAGCACCTGCTACTTTGGTGGCAAATGGGCCGCGGAGACTGGGACCCACATGGCCCAGCCCTCAGGGAGCTCCGAGCTCAGGAACATAAAATAATCACACAAGCACAAAACGACAATTATGCGAAGCAGCGTGGGGAGTGGGAGAGGGTGTGAGAGGGGGCTTGATGTCCACAGGAAATCAGGATGGCTTCTGTGAGAAGGCGGGAGGGGAGAGGAGCTGGGCAGGCAGGCTGGAAGAACAGCAGCATGTGCCAAGGCCCTGGGGTAGGAGGAGCAGGGGGCTGAACAGCCAGCAGAGGCCGCAGGCCGTAAGCAGCTGGCCAGGGAAGAATACAGACTGTGGTGAGAAGGGCAGAGGGCCTGATGAGGTCTGCGCACACTACGGGAGACAGCAGACAGTGGCCTGGACGTCAGGTCTGCTGAGCAGGCTCTGGGGCATCCTGATGGCGGTGTGAAGTGACAAGGCTGAGTGACACCAGGGGGCCAGGCACCGGAGAGCTGGCTGCTGATCGTGCCATTACCCTGGCCCGAAAGGACAGGGCTGCTGGGAAGCGGGGACAGCAGACCCAGAACCCTGAAGAGGGCCGGGTGTGGGCCCGGGACTAGACGGCAGGGATTTCCGGTGAACCTGGATGGTGGCCATCAGGCCAAGGGGCCAGGTTCCCAACAACACAGCCTGAGGCTGGTGGCCCCCGCTCTCTTCTACCCACCTCGGGTCCCCAGGCTCTGGGGAGAAGCTTGGAAGAAGCCCCATACCCGCACTTCTGCCAAATGTCATTCGGATTGAACCCAAGGTTTTTACACTGACCCAAACCTTCAGCCCCCACCCTCTCCCCCATACACATCCTTTCTTTTTTTTTTTTTTTGAGACAAGGTCTTCCTGAGTTTGCTATGTTGGGTTTGAACTTGAGATCCTCCTGCCTCAGCTTCCCAGAGTATTCTGATTACAGGCTGAGCCACCACGCCCAACATGGTGGGCAGAACCTCAGCCTCTGTACCGGTAAATTGTTTTGCCCAGAAAACCCAAAGCACCCGCCTTTGGGCTGGGTGGGAGGTGTGGCGAGGTAACATCGCCACGCTCCCGCTGAGAGCCTCCTGCACCCACCACGGATGTGAGGGGCGCTCAGCACTGCACAGCCCTGACCGCTGCTCAGCTACCAGGCGCAGACCCCTCGGGGTGCGGGACGGCAGCGTCCTCACTCACCTCCGCCACTTGCTGCTTGTCCAGGTGGAACACCTGCCCGGAGCTGGTGGAGGCGATCTCCTCGTAGGCCAGGTAGCCAGGGTGGGTACGGTCACCACAGTCCCCCGTCAGCACAAAGACCACCTGGAAGATGGACGTGCGGCCCGTCTCAGGTCTGCCCCGGCCACCTCCCGCAGGACGGAGCGGCTAGGGGCGAGCCTGACCCTCTCTCGGGCTTCCTGAGTGCGAGCGCGCCCATTGCGTGGGGATCCTGAGCCGAGGCAGGACAAGGGCTCCCACGGGCCAGGAAAACAGCAGGTGCTCAATAAGTGAGAGAATCTACAGCACAGAGGGTGTGGAGGTCGCCTCATCTCAGAGCGGCCCGAAGGCCGCGGGAAGTAAAAGCCCAACCTCTCTTCCCAGCCCTGGGACAGCGGCAGCAGAGAGGGGCTGAGTGAGGCAGACAGAAGGCACAGACTCGGACAGGTGCACGGGAGGGGCCTGGCCCGGGCTTCGCCAGGAGCAAGGCTGGCAGGGGGGTGGGAGCCCCACTTGTCTCCCTGGGCTGGAGGCCCGGCCTCCACTCACCTGCGACTGCTTCAGCTGCAGGAGCCGCAGCAGCTCGTCCTTCTTGTGATAGTCCTTGGCGCGGGCATCCGAGAAGACATAGATGAAGGAGCCGGGGTTGGCGACCTCCACGGCAGCCTTGACGGCCCCCACGCTCATCTCGGGGCAGTCGCCACCTCCCTGGAGAGAGGCAGCGTGTCAGCAGCTGCCGCCCGCCTCCTCAGACAGGACGCCCGGAGACACCTCTGGAACCAAGGGGAGCTGGGGTCCCCGCCCGGGCTCGCTGTGCCACCTGTCTCTCCCTCCCAGAGGAACAATGTAGCGTCGGACCTGCTTGAGCTTTAGACAAGCCTCATCTGACGCATTCGCCGTGGGGAGTGACACGGTCCCGTCCCATGGGCTCTGGCACGGGAGGCCGGTGACTCAAGGAAGCCTCGCCAGAGTGTTCAATCACCAGTGTTGCAAGTGCTTGTGGAGGACGTGGGAACAGCCAGCAGACAGCCCCAGGAAGCCACCCGCTACCCACAGCTTAACGGATAAAGGCGCAGACAGGAGAGGGCGAGAGAAAGCGTCCAAAGCCCCTCTGCAACCTGCCCTGGCATCGACCCCAGGTACACCTGCACCCCTGCCCGCCTGCTCGGCAGACAGACCTCCCTGTGGGACGGGGCCACGTGTCCCTGTTCCCGTGTTTGCACTCACAGCCGTCAGGCGCAGGATTTGCACACAGGGTTTTCAGTAAACGCTTCCTCCTGTTCTGCTTGTCGGCCACTCGAGGACCGACTGGGCCCTGTGAGAGCTGGACCCTGCTTCCCCGTGTCCTCACTGGGTACAGATGCTCCTCCCTCTCCCCTTTCGTTTATTCATCAAGTAATAAGCTGTAGGTGCCAGGAACAGGGCTCAGGAGGGAAGGAACCCCTTCAGTCCAGCTCTCCAGGGTCCCCAGGCTGGGTGCAGACTACCACAGAGCTGAGAGGAAGTCATGGGGGAGGAAGCCGCCATCTTGGTTCCCAGGTGGGGCGAAGACTTGGTTTCTGTCATAAGCCGGGAAGAACAAAAGCAAGGGCCAGCAGCCCGGGGCAAGGGCGACCCACCTGCACATAGAGTTCTCGCAGCTCCTTCTGGAACACCACTGGGTCCGCCGTGAGCGTCACTGGGCCGATATCTGTGGGAACAGAGGTCCGGATGCCCTTAGGCCCAGACCAGGTTCAAGGGCTCCAGGGAGCTCAGAGATGGAGCAAAAGGTAAGCGCTGTCCCTCCTTCCCAACTGCAGTCCTCAACGTTTTGTGACCAAGACGCCCTAAGAACACCCTCCCCTCCCTTCCCACGCATTTCCACTCTCAGTGAAAAAGAAAGACAAAGACAGGGATACAAATGAGTAATCCACTCCGGAACACACAGCTCGGATCCAACCACAGCGGGACCGGAAACCCGGTCTGGATATCAGCACGGTCAAAGGCGTGGCGGGGAAAGGTGCCCGGATCGGCCCCACCAGTATCAGCCAGGACGTGGAGCAGGAGCGTCCATCCAGCGCAGGGGAGATGCAAACGGTCCGTCCATTTTGGACAACAACGGCAGTCTCTAAAACACCCAGCGTCGGGTACCGTAGGACCCAGCTCGGCCACATTCTGGTGTTCACACAGACAGGCAAACACACATCCACACGGAGGCTTGCGCACGAATGTTCCCGGCGGTCGTATCCCAACGACCCAAAGCCAGCAGCATCCAACGCTCAGCGAGTGGGTAAGCACACTGCGGCATATCTATGTGCAGGAGTCCCCCTCGTGCATAGGGGGTACATGCCAAGATCCCCAGGGGGACCCGAAATCACAGGGTACCACCCCCTGCGTATACAACTTTCCCCCTACGTCCACACAGTACCTGTGATAAAGCTTAATTTATAAATTAGGCATAGTAGGAGACGAACGACTATAACAAATAACAAAGTAGAACAATGCTAACCATACAGTGCAGCCGGGCGCAATGGCACACACCTGTCATCCCAGCACTCAGGAGGCCGAGGCAGGAGGAGCACCGGGAATTCAAGGCCAGCCTGGGCTGCATGGGGAGACTCTTTCTCAAAAAAACCAAAACCAAACAAGCAAAATATGCCGTAATAAAATTGCCGGTATCGCTATTATCATGCTGTGGGCCATTTCTAGGTGAATAGGGATTACGTGAACACTATGGACACCAGCCAGCTGGTGTTGGTTAGTCACCAAGTCGATCCACAACCAAGACAGCTCCTAAGAGACTGGCGGGCAGGTGGCATGTACAGCATAGGTCCAGGGGCCTCAGGCACAGGCAGGACAGGGCAGGGTGCTGCGCGATTTCATCACACAATCGGGGTGGTGCGCTGTTTAAAGCTTCAGAACGATTTCTGGACGTTTCCATTTCCTGTTTTTGGCTTTTGGTCCACCATTGGTAGCTGAAAGCAGGAAAAGCTGACGAACAGAGAAGGGGCAGCCCGCAGACTGGGGGGAGAGCAGCGACTGGACTCGGGGTCTCCCCGATCCTAACAAGGGCAGAGGAAGCGGTGAGGGAGAGAGACGCTGTATGTGGCGACTGGCACGAGGGCTCCAGGGCTGGCTGTGCAGCTCAGATCCGTGCACCGGAGTCTGTAAAGTGACCTCACGAGTGACAGGATGCCAACGGCGGGGCGGCGGGGTGACTGCGCAGCCACCTGGTGATGCGGGGTGACGGGTGCGGGGAGCAGTCGCACTCTCTGCCTCCTTTGTGTATATCTGAAACGCTCCCTAGTGAAAAGAGGTTTTATTTTTAAGCAGCGGTAGCGGAGGTCACAGCCAACCAGTGAGCCGCACTGTCCATGCGGGACACAACTCCCACACTCCAGGTAGGTGCGCCCGGGGGCTCTGCGTGGACAGCTGCCCTCCTTGGCAAACATCTCAATGGCGTCTTCAGTTGAACTCTAGTAATGGGCTATTTTTGGTTCCGGAATTCCAAATTCCAGTCCCCCTGTGAAACTTCCCTGCTCAGCAGAAGTAAGTCCTTCGGCAGGGAAGTCATGGGGCTATCGGGCGCCCCTCCTGCCCCGTTACCAAGCAGGAGTGTGGACACCCCCCAACCCCGTCTATATTTCCCATCTTGTCCTCCTTTGCCCACCCTGGCCTTTACCAAGCTCTTTGCCAGCTACGGGACCAGTGAGAGCTCAGCTCACCGTTTTGAGCCTCAGTTTCCCCATCTGTAAAATGAGCCATGAAGAGCCTCACTCATTGTTTGTTTTTTTGAGACCCCACCATCCTAGTGCCTGGTCCTGCTCCATCGCCCCCTGCCCCCTACTAACCGCCCATCACTTGTGAGCTATGGGAAGCCCCGGGGCGCCCACTTCTGGCTCTGTTCTGCCCCCCACAGCACGACCTCTTGGTGATGTCCAGTGCTTCTCTGGACATCTGGTTCCCAAGCTGGGCTGGCACGCACCTGAAGGTTTTCTGTGTGCTTCCTGCGGGGCTGGGGGCCAGGGTGCTCTGTCCGTCATGGAGGGACAGGGACAGTAAAGAGGAACTGATTTGCTCTCAGTTCACCCTTGCACAACAAAATGTTGGTCGCTTGCATTTGCTCCCTCTGTTGGTTTTCATTTCTTTTTTCTTTTTCCAGTACTGGGAATGGAACCCAGGGCCTTTGTTTGCACCAAGCTACATCCCTGGCCCTTTAAGTTTTTTATTTTAAGACAGGGTCTTGCTGGGGATATAGCTCAGCGGTATAAGCACCTGCCTGGCAAGCGCAAAGTCCTGAGTTCGATTTCTGGTACCAAAAAAAAAAAAAAAAAAAAAAAGATAGGGTCTTGCTAAGTCACTAAATTGCTGAAGCTTGGTTTATTACTATTATTAGTCCTGCTTGCAGTACCTAATGACTGCATTCCCCTTACCCTACCTCCACGGGTGCTGGTGCATGCGCAGAGCACATCCTCATTCTTTTCATCCCTTTCCCCTCCTTCTCCATCTCTAGGCCCCCTCCCCTTTTGCAAAGCACCTGTCTCCCTGTTTCCTATGATCTGTCTTTCACTTTGTTCATTCTTTATGCTTTGGGTTTCTCATGTAAGAGAAACCATGCAACTTTTAAGCCTGTGTGCCCGAAGTATTTCATGTAGCATTATGGTCTCAAGGTGTGTCCATTTTCCTACCAATGACTCAAGCTTGGCCTTCTTTCCCGCAGAGTAGTACTCCACTGTGTGTAAGTACCACATTTCTTAGTCAATCCTACTGAACTGAGGAGCCCGAAAAAGCAGCCACCTCCTCATCTGACCCCGTCATGACCCAAATGAGTGTGCCTGGGTGAAGCCCACACTGACCTGCTCCTTGCTGTGACACCTGTGTCATCTTTCCACCTCCTGTGCCCAGCACCACGCCAGGCACCAGGAAGACCCCACAGCTATTTCCGGGCGCTGGGCCTGCCTGATCCCCGTTCCCCACCACCGCACGCTGCCACAGTTGCACAGAGAAACGGGTGCCGCGCGGCAGGACAGGGGAGGGGGGTGTGTGGGACGTGCAGAGCTCAGCCCCGCCCAGGGAAGATGACCAGGCGACAGAGGTGTCTGTGACTCAGCCGGAGATGGGGCTGGCAGTCCTGAGGGAAGAGCTGTCTCATGTCGGCCCGGGGCCCCCCAGAGAATGCAGTCAGGAGGTGTGGCCTCGCACGTGCGTGTGCGCGCGGGCACGCCTGTGCCTTTCCTCCCTCTCTCCAAATAGATGGTCCCCAAATGTGCCCGGGGAGCCAGCTGCTGTCGACGGAGCCATCACTCCTGGGGTGAGCTCCGCTTCCCGACGCCAGAGGGGCTGGGCGGGCAGAGGCCTCCTCGTCCCCTGCCCTGGTGTGCACCTGCCACCCGCCCCAGCAGCCCCAGGGAGAGAGATGGAGGTGGGCGACTTCCCGGCCCTCGCTGATGCTGGCCGTGGCTGCGCCTGTCTTTCCTGCAGCCTACGGCACCATCAGCTCCAGGCAGAGTGGACAAGTCTTCCAGTAGGATGGGGGCTGAGGGGCCAGGACTGCGCAGGACACTGGTTTGTCCCTGCTGGAGGGCACCTATGACCAGGGTCACCAGAGCCCCCCTCCTTCTCCCTCTTCACCCTGTCCACCCAGGGTGATGGCACATCTGGACAAAGCCCCCAACCGCCTCACATGGTAACACACTGCCATCTGGATGCTGCCGTGGACCACGCGTGGGCGGGGGAGTGGGGGAGGAGGAAGTGGGTATCAGAGCTGATGCTGATCTTGCTGAGGATTGTGTTACACATCTCTGTTGCTGTAGCAAAATACCTGACACCCGGTGGTTTATAAAGAATGGAGGTTTATGTGGCTCCAGCTCTGGAGGCTGGGGAGCCCCAGATCATGGCGGAGCAGCTGCTGGGCTCGGGCACCGCAAGGCGGAGGGTGGAAGGGGAGGCACATGCATGGAGAAACAGCTTGAGGGCCGGGCTCGCTCTCCAGCGACCTCTCCTTGTGATCATGAGCCCAACGCAGCGAGGACTAACACTGTTCCTCCCACATGGTATTCAGCCATTCGTGAGGATGGAGCCCTCAGGACCCAAACTCGTGTCCCACCCCCAACAGGAGCTCGCTGAGGAACGCAGGTTCCGGCACATTCACTATGGGAGACAAGCTCAAACCACGGCCAGGATGCCGCAGTCAGGGTGCTTTCTGGGTGCTAAGGGTCGACCCGGGGCTCAGCACAGCCCTGAGCCATACCCAGCCCTGATGTCGACGCCGAGGGTGGTGGCCGTGCCGTGAGGACGGTGGTGAGGACGGTGGTGAGGACGGTGGTGGTGGCGGCGGAGATGGTGGCAACAGCCGTCTCCGCACGGAGCACTTCCTCTTCCGCAGGCTGTAGCTGGGCGCTATGCTCCCCTCCCTCCTCCCACTAAGAACGCCTAGACTGAGGGGGCTTATGCCCTCGGGGACGGCCACACAGGTAGAAGCGGTGCTGCCGTCTTTGGCGGCTTCCTGGGCTGCTGGAGGCTTTTGCAGACGTGCATTTGCTCACAGTCTTAGAGGCCGGAAGGGCAGGGTCGGGGCACTGCCGCTCCCTCTTGCGAGGCTCCAGGGAGAGCGAGCTCCAGCCCTTTCTCTGGCTCCGGGGCCGTCAGCTGCCCCTGGTGCTCTTGTGTGCAGACCCCTCGCTGTCGTCTCCCTCCTTTCCTCTGTCCACG